TTTCAGACTCTTTGCCAAGTATGTTTTGACTGTAGGAGCAATAATATTTATAGGGAACGTGGTTTCCTTCGATAATTATGCTTTCCTCCAAGCAGTTTCCCTTCTCAATCTTTAGAACAGAGCATTTTAAGAAACTTTGGCAAATCTCTCTACCTTTCTAAGCGTTATAATAAGGTTTTGGAGGCTGTCCCTGCTTTGGCTGATGAATTGATAACCAGTGCAGTTTCAAAGCAATTTAACAGCAAATGTTGCTTATTACTTAAGATACAGCAACAAGTGTTGCTGCCAGAAAGTCTGATAGTCTAATTTTCTATTTTGTTACTTGGATAATTGGATTTACCACTCCATTGGATAATTGTTTAAGTTGAGCCAAAAAAAAAAAAAAAAAAAAGGGCCAGGCTGCTATTTTTAGACAATCTAGAGGTTCTGGTTATCTCTAGCACTGATCTAACAGAAGATACCACAAATGGGTGGTTTTAACAAACATGAGTTCATTCTCTTAACAGTTTTGGAGGCTGTAAGTCCAAAACTTCTAGTTCAAAGCGCCAGCTCTAGGGGCTGGGTGAAAACCCCTCGACCTTAGGCTTCAGCTCTGCCTCTTGCTCCTGGCCCACTGAAGCTAAAGGTGTCTCTTTACTCAGGCAGCTGCTAGCTGCTGAGGCTGACAAGCCAAGGTCAACAAATAAAATGGCACAGCACAGTCCCAATATTACCAAACAACATGGCAGACTACTAGTTCAAGTCCAGGGATAGTCCCAAGATCAGCAGGAAACATGGCGGGCTGCTAAATGAAGACTCGGCTACATGCAGGGTTCAAGCATGCCAAAAGCTGCAGACTTTTCTCAATGCTTTTCCAGCAGATTCCTCCACAGAGTTGATTATGAATCTCACCATAGAGAGTAACTACATCCAGATGCCCAGCCACTCAAAACCAGGCCCAGCCAACTTGACACATAACCGTAACTACAACACTACGGTATGGTATACTTGTTCCAGTTAGAGAAGTATTTCCCATCACAGCATTCCTAGATGTCTCTGCTTCCAGGGTTATTGCAAACTTTCCAAAACTGGTGGTTTGGGTCAGCTATTTACGTATCTTGGACAAGTTTTATCCTCCCAATTTTTTTTCAAAAAATTACAAAACAGGAGTAATACTCACCTTACAAAATAAGCTTAAACAAGATAGCCAATGGCATAAATGGAATAGCCTGGTAAACCTTAAAGCGATACATAAGGAGTCACTATCTCACTGGTTTACTTCAATACTGTTCAGTTTCTTTCTTTTTAAAAAATATTTATACTATACCAAAAGTGAAGCATCTAAAGAAGAAAAGTGGTAACAATTTATAGACTACTTCCTACTTGGCAGCCAACTGGTTTACTCATCTCCATATTCCTAGCATCTTACAGCCTAGCACAGTGTAGGTTTCAATAAATGATTATGGAACAGAGGCTAAATTAAGGCAGAAAACACATCTATTCATTATCAGAAGGCTTGTGGTAGAGTTGGAACACCTGGACGAGGCCTCAACTTCTCATCTTTAAATTCTAGCATCTGGCCTGTATTCGTCATGCAATTATCTGACCAAATAGCACCAATCTACATTATTCTACTCCAGGCAGAATTACATCGTGGCTGATAGTAGATTACCTAGCCTATGGCATTTTGAAAGGGTCCTTTATGAAGACAGGCATTTTGGTTTCAAACTGGTCACTTTCTAGTAAGTTCCTTAAAATAATACTTTCTCCATCTTTGAATATTTTATATGTTTAGCAAAACCCATTAGAAAAACTCAGTAAAAAAGCATCTGTCAAGCAAATGTTAGAGTAAAATACTGCCAGTCCAATCCATCAAGCAAGTCCTGCTGTTTACTTGCAAAACATAGCCTGATTCCAACTATTTCTTCTTATCCCCAGACCCACTACCAATGAGTCAATTCTGCTCAGTGACCCTACAGGATAGATTAGAGCTGTCCCATAGGGTTTCCAAGCTTATAAATCTTAATGGGAGCAGACTGCTTCATCTCTCTCCCACTGAGTGGCTAATGGGTTTGAACCACTGACCTTTTGGTTAGCAGTCAAATACTAACCAAATCCCCATTACTAACATCTCAATACAGGCCATCACTGTTACTTGACTGAACAACTTCCAAACTGGCCTCCTGGCTTCTACTCATCTCTTCCCCAACAGGATTGAAATAATAAGTATAATTAAAAACAAAACAAAAATAACCCCACCCAACCATAAATTAGGCAATTTCCCTTCTCTGCTCATAATCCAACAATGGCTCCCACATTGCAGTTAGAATTCAAATTCTTTAAATTTACAAGGCTCTGTATCAGAGGTATAGTCTGAAGGCCAAATCTAACCCACCAAAAAACAAAACAAAAAAACCCAAACTCACTGCCATCGAGTTGGATCCAACTGATAGCAACCCCTCCTTTGGGTTTCCGAGGTGGTATCACCATGGAGGTAGATTGCCCAATCTTCCTTCTGAGGAGTGGAATGAGTTTGAACTGCCAGCCTTCTGGTTAGCAAATACCTTAGGCACTATGCTACCAGAGCTCCTAAACCCACCAGTTCCTATAATTAAAGTTTTACTGGAAGTTGAACAGTTGTGACCAAAACCATAAACGGTTACCACCTAACCCTTTATAGCAAAAGTTTGCCGACCTTTCCTCGATGTGACCTCTATTTCCCTCACCAGATCGTCTACCATTCCCACTTTTCCTCATTCATTCACCACACCTCTTCCACCTGTTTGCAACTGGTGCCCATGAATTCTCTATGCTTCATTCCTCGATTGTCTCAGCTCAAATTCAACTTCTTTAGAGACCTCCTTCTGACCAACTGATCGAGTGGCCCTTTCAACCTCTTTAGTCACCTATCATGCTATGAAATAGTAACATGGTAATGACTATTTGAAATATATGAGTTAATACTCCCCACCTACAGAATGTAAGCTCCATGAGGGCAGGAACCTTATTTGCCCACCACTCCCTATTTTAATTAGCATAAGCCCAGCACCAAAAACAATGCCTGGCACGAATGAATGATGCCAAGGCCAGGAACTCCAGTTTTGCTCAAGTCAGTTTTCAATGGTCAGTTCCACTGTTGTACACTTGTGTTAAGACTGGCCTGACATTAATCATACAAGGCTGAAGGAGGATAATTAATCAGTATTCTCGGTCCTGTTACGGGGAAAACAATCCCCACCCAAGAGCACATTCTCCTGAATGTGGGGTCATCTTGCCCTCTCCAGGTTCAGACAGCATTAGGAAAACCATTCAAAGTAAGGTCACAGTATTGGACAAAGTAGTTATCAACTTTCTGATTATTATGGTTAAGAATTTTATTATCAAAATTATTACATCTCTTGTGAAAGTTCAAATGTTACAGCAAGGTGTAAACACTCCACTTGAGAAAGAAGTGATACTTCTTCTCTTCCGAGAGTTCCCCGCCCCCGCCCCCCTCCCCCCCAAGAGGTCTGGTCTTGACAGCACCCTGCCCACACAGAGTGGCTGGGGTCTCTGCACGTGCCAGGCAGGGTGAGGGCCGCCTGCCCGCTGGCCTCTCCCCTTGGTTAACAGCCAAAGGGAGAATGCAAACCCCAGCCCAAATGGAGAGACATTTACATACGTTTTATATAATATACAAAGAAACCAGCATCCCAGGCAACATGATTTCCACTTCCAACGCTCTCCCAGACTGATGGGTTTGTGGGGGAAACAACAAAAAGTACTCTGCTGAGGTTTCAGCACTTAAAAAAAAAAAAAAAAAATCTCCCCTCATTTGAGCAAACACCTGATTTCAATTTTGAAAAAGTGAAATTTTGTAACAGTCACACACAAAGAGAGAAGACTGTGCATATGATAGTTGTAGGAGAGGGATGAAAGGAAGGGGATGCAAGAGGCTGGAGGAAAAAAAAATCAGAGGGAAGGAAGGAGGGAGACTCACAGTATTATCTTGTCCAAAAGAAAAGAAGTAAGGTCCACTGCAGCACCAGGGATTACACCTGTCATATATTCACTACCCCTACCATGGTTATAACTGAATACAAAATTAGATAAATAAAAACACGCCGGATATTACAGTAAACAAGTGAAAGAAATAAGCTGGCAACCGTATGGAATTTAAAAAGATTGTGTACCCCACCTGGACTGGATCCATGGCTCCTCCAGGGGTGTACAACAGGCACAATGCACTGATGGGGAGAAGCCAATCTATTCTCATTTCTCATCCAGAACAGTGTTAGGTGTGTGGGTGGCTTTGTAATTCTCACCTCGCCCACTCTCGAATAAGGAGCAAACATCCCCCAAAAGAAATGTAGGATATGCCCACAAATAATCGCAGTCCTGTCGGTGCCACTCCACATTTTTCCATTCTTACCCTGCAGTCACAAGTGCGTGCTCCCCAATCATGAAGGCGGTCTTACTCACGGGCTCATCAACTCCTGATTAATTGGGAGTAGGAAAAGTAAAACTCAAATAATTCCCAAACCACTTTGGGATCCTTCCTAATCAAATTTATTGTCAAAAGCTGGGAAGCAGCAATGCATTTGGCCCATGCCACTTAATATTCATCTTTTCTTCGCCTACATACTTTATGGGTTAATGAAGCTGTGGAATAGCTTGAGAAGGGGGAGTGGGATGGTAACAGCTGGGGGGCTCAGATAACCAACAAAGATAATCTGCTCCTGGATAATCAAGAGTTGACATGAACTCTTCTTCAGAAAGCCAGGTACCCCTCAATCAGAGCATGTTCCAAGCTTCACTACTTCTTGGTGATTTTAAAACAAATAAAGATAGGTAGTGACACACCTTAGCCAGATATCAGATATCTCCTTTTGGAATGGTTGTTTTAGGGTGAACATTTACATACCTACCTTTTTCCGTAAGTGCATGAAAGCCTAACACTACTCAGATGGCTTGGGGGCTTTGAGATTGGCTTTTTTCACTTTATTTTTTTCTCCTTTGAAAAGATTTTTTTTTTTTTTTTAAATTTAAAAAGATGTTCTCACTGCACAAGTGACTACAGGCTACGGGCAAGGTTGGGAGACGGAGGCTTCAACACAACTCATTGCACTTAGAACCGTTACTAACCAAAACACCATTTGCTTATCAACAATGTACCCTTAACAGCAGGGAGAAACTTCTTTATAGTCTCTGCTTCAGACAAGATTTACGTCTTTCTCCAAGGCCAGAGGCCAGTCACGACCACAAGTCTTGTTTCTTGTTGACCAGACCCACTCCTCTGGCACCTTGTACCTCCCTTCCCCAGCATTATGCTCGGCCTAGGATCCAGAGGCAGCTGGAAGGAAGCAGCTATGGGCTTATTCAGTTCTGTTTGCCCAAATCCAGAAGCCCTAGGAAAGTCCTGTCTGAGTCTTGACTCCTGACCCTTGCAGTGGCTGGAGACGATACTGGTGCACACTCCCACTCCCACTCCCACGGTGTGGGTAGTGCTGTGAATTGGAAACCGCGGATACCCTGGAGGCCTGGTAGGCAGATGACTGCCCAGCAGTGGGCAGACTGATAGTCCGTAAGTCTGATGGCAATGACAACCTAGAGTTCTGAGGAAAGGAGGTGGAACTCAGAGTTCCTGTGCTGGACTGAGAAACTGAGTCTGAGGTTGGCGAGTCTGAGGGGCCCTGTGGGGGAGGGCTAGCAGCACTAGAAGGGCAGCTCTTCCTTGGAAGACTGCTACTGGTGCTGTTTCCAGAATGTGGCTGGCTGCTGTAATACCCTGGTGTCCCTGTAAATGGGGCCAACGAGTCTGTGGACACAGGGTGGGCAGGGCTGGAATAGGATGTAGAAGAGAGGGATGATTCTGAAGAACCATGAGAAGGGGGGTTTCCAGGTCTCAGTGCAGTAGTTCGGTAACTGTATCCTGGAGATTGGGTAGGATGTCCTCTAAAAGGGGAGGAACTCTGTTGAAGGAGGCTTTGTGATTCTGTCCGTGGGCTATCACACTGCAGGAGCTAGAAAGAGTTGGGAGGAAAAACAGAAAAAGGTGAACAAGCCCCTTAAATGGTTTGCGAATATTTACAATACCTTATGTTCTTATAAGACAGTAAAATGGCTGTCTTTGTTCACCTAATTTATTTTACTGTCATCATTTATTACCTGAAGGTGAGCAGGTAAGGAAGTATTTCCAAAGCTGCTAAAACTACACGCAAATACTCTTCATATAAAGGCAGCATCTTAATGGCAAAGGACAGCCAAGATCATGAAACATCTGGAACCCAGAACATATCCCAATGCCCAGGATCTTTTTTCCTACCTGGTAGCTGTATCTTGAAGGGCTGTAAACGGTTGCTCCTTTGGAGAGTGCTGAGCTCAATGTCTCTGGGCCTTCTCCATCTGCAGGGTCTGGAAGGTAATAGAAAATGCAATTAGCTTCTTAAAGTAAATGAGAAATACCTATTGTTCATTCAAATAATCAATTCATGCCGCTCTCTTTGTTAAAACTGAGTGAATGCAGCATGCTGGAAGGGCAAAAGTAGTAGTTAATTATGAGCCATTTTTAAAGTGCCCGATCTGACTTCCATCTCCTCTTTTCTCTTCATCCTTCATCAAGGTGGATTTCCAGGCCTTTGGAGAGTTATAGAAAGGTATCCCTTGGGAAAAAAGAGCAGACGGAGAGCACGCCATGGTACACTTTAAGAACAGTGAAGCCCCAAAGAGGAGATCTAAGACTGAGCTACAATTTAACGTGGAGTAAAGCCCAACTGTGCGAGAAACTGACTCACCTCATCTCAGTATTTGGTGTGAACCTTGTGAAGCATGACTCATGTGCCCTGAACCTGATTGGCAGCAGAAAGTCATGGACTCACCTGAGTCTTTCTCTGTGGTGTTACTCTCCCATGTGGGAGAAGGCTCTCCTTTTTGGGCCACCCTCACACTGCTTCGGAGGACCTTAGGGATGCTCCCTCCTTCTCGGAGCCGTTCTACTGATGTGGGAACCATCCTGGGAAAGCAACAGGGTCCAAGTTTAAGGTACAGGACTTCAGAATCAAGAGTCTGGTATAAATGAAGCTCTGACAAAAGTCATACAACGTATTCTCTTAATATAGTTTTGGCCTCTTAAGTATTGTTTTCTTTAGGACTAATTTAAAACAAGGTTTTTCCACTGCCCCAAACTATGTATGTTAATCAAGTATAGCAGACAAAATAATTCTAAAGAAAAAGAAATCAAGGAAAAGGTGGATTAAGTATGCTACTATCTTTTAACTCTCATTTTGGTATGCCAAGTTTCTCTGTGAAATCATGTGCCTGGCACAGAATATCATTAATTTAACGAATGTTTCATAGATGAATGCATATTATTCATTTCAAACATGTCTCTTCTTTCTCAGATTTCATTTCAATCCAGATCCCTCAACTCTTGTGCCTCACTCGACTTCACACACTTGGTACTCAGTACCTGCCACCAGTGTTATTGTTTTACTTGTGGTTTCCCCTAAACCAAACTATAAGTTCTTTTAGATTATCTGTCCTAACTCTCTAAGCCAGCCACATGGAAGAGAGGTAACTGTTGTTAATTCAAGTAGAACTGGGCTGAACTCCTGGACTTACCTTTGATATAAAATGAGAAAACAGAAGAGTCAGTTTCAGTGCCCAGCAAGAAAATAGCTCATCTGTGTTCACAATTACATGATGTCCAGTGTTTCTCTTTCTCTGCAGGTTTGGTGGCATTTCTTTGCTGCTTCAAAGCTGGGGGGTTATGGCTTGTACTATCAAATCAGCCCAATAGGACAGATGGCACTGTCTGCTGGCTCTCTCAGTAAGTGTTCCCATACATTTTATGTAAAATTAGGAATGATCCTAGACGTACACTTCCTTCCTGAATTTGATTATAAAGCATCAAACTTAAACTTACCATCTACTGCTGATATTCTCTTGAGGTCTGCAGTGAGACGAAGAAGTGCCTCTGGAATCTGATGGGCTTACCGCCTCCAAATGGGACATAGAGGAATGAGATGGGGAGAATTTTTTGTGAGGGGAAGATGGGGCTCGGGCTGAGGATCCCTGCACACCATGGGCACCAGTGTCAGACACTGAGTTACTGCTGCCTTGCCCAGCTCCTGCAGACTTGCTTTTGCTCTGCATGGAGTCAGCTCCCCCACCAGCAGACTCCTTGGCTTCTTGTTTCCGTTTGCGGTACTCCAGTAGGGACACCTAAAAAGGAAACAAGAAACAGGACTCTAGCTCAACTAGACATCACTAATTGATAACTAGCAATGGAGAAAGAAGGGAAGATGGAAATCTGGTAAACCATGAGTCAAGCCATACACACAAAGAAGGCAAATTCTCCGGGATGTGACAGACCTCTGAGCACAGCTACATTTTTAAACCAGTCAGAACTTGGTAAGGACAAGAGAATAAACTAGGAGACAGAGAGTTCTGAAGAATGATATTCACCAGTAAGTATTAATTTCTTATCTGCCTTTAGAAAAACTTGTGAGATTATACCATACGCTCACCAGTAACTGAAGAGTACTCAGTTATAAATTATTTGCTACAATGGGAGCACCTAAAAAAGGGAGGGTGAAGAGTGAGAAGTTGTGAAGCCTCCCAGGTGATTCTAGAAGTTATTTCTCACTCCCTGGAAATCTCCAGTAGTTGTTATTACTTTTTTCTTTTTTTAAAAGGGGCAGGTGGGAGGAAGAGTGACAGAAAAAGCCAGCGCTCCAAGGTTCTTTAAGATGTATCTAGGGATTTAATATGGTTTCTTACACTGAGAAACTAGAGAAAAAGGACAAAGGAGAAAAAATGATACACAGTTTATACTTTAGCAAGGTGACTCTAAAAACCTATACTTGGAAACTTCTTCTCACCTCTACATCATCTGCCTGATCCTTACTAATCCTTTTCTGACTGCTACAAGACCCCTGTACCACAGCCCTGTAAACCTCCTCTTTGCTATTACAGTACCCTGCCCTTATACTGGCTACAGTATCTATTACAGTGTCTTGCAGCTCCCCCACTAACCTGTGAGTTCTATGAGGGCAAAGACTAATTTATTAAGTTTATCTGGCTTTTTAACATCCAGCACAGAACCTGGGATACAGTTAGGTGCTAAAGAAATGTTTCAGAAATAAAAATCATGATTCTAGTCACTTCTGTACATAATAATTAAATGAAACTAGAAACATAAAAATGGTTTCCATTTCTCTGCTCCTCATGGTCAATGCTGCTCATGCAACAATCTTCTCTACCCATTACCATCTTACTCTAAATTATCTGACAATGTTTCTTCTTTTGTCCCCTTAGGGTTCTCATTTTTCTGTCCAAATTAATGTTGTTGTTGTTATGTGCCCCCCAGTTGGACCCGACTCATAGCGACCCCTCCTTGGGTTTCTGAGGCAGTATCACTACGGAAGTAGATTGCCCCATCTTCCTTCCAAGGTGGGTTTGAACCGCCAGCCTTCTGGTTAGCAGTCAAGTGCCTTAGGCACTACGCTACCAGAGCTCCTATCCAAATTAATATATAACAAAAATATGAAATGCATATGCATTTTTTATATATCAATCTTGGAAAAGAGTTATAAAATTCTGGCAATGTATCTAATATAAAAAGCCACTATAGCTGCACTTCAAGAAGAATATTATAGACACTTTGCCACTAAAAAAGAAACAACAACAACAACAAAAAAAAACAAAAAAAAAATCACTGTCGATGCAGACTCATAGCAACCCTATGAAGAGTAGAACTGCCCATAGGGTTTCCAAGGCTTTAAATCCTTACAGATGTAGACTGCCCCATCTTTCTCCTGTGGAATGGCTGGTGGGTTCAAACCTTTGACCTTTTGGTGAGCTGCTGAATCTTTTAACCACTACGCCATCAGAATGCCTTACTTACTTTGCCATTGGGTGAGACTATTCCACACACAGGACATTTAGTATCCCTAGCCTGCCCTTGCCCACTATAATGGAAGTTGCTGTGACAACCCAAAATACTCCAGTGCATTCTCAAACACCACACTTGAATCCACTGATATAAAAAGCACATCTTTGGCTTTGTGATTTCTAAAAGAGGCAGTAGTTAAGCATCCAGCTCTTCCTGTGACCATGACCAAGTTACCTAACTTGCTTTAGTTTCTTCACCTGCAAATGGACAATTACCTAACTTGTAAGATTAAATGCATACGAAGAGCTTAATGGTGTCTAGAACACAGGAAGTGATAAAATAACATAAGCTAACCTATTCTTTCTTTATTGCTATACCTTTGAATTGCCTAGAAAGTTCAGGGCACAGAGCAGGCACTTAAATTTGAATATTTACAGAACTCACCAAGTTGTATTAACACAGTGTGGTTTTTCATTAGACATGGACAGAAAAACCGTATCTTACTAATCTGTTTTCCTAACACTGAGGACAGTACTGAACACATAGCAGGTACTCACTAAATACCTGTTTGAGATTTCTTAAACAGGCATCACTTACAAGTCCTAACTTGTTAGCAAACACTCCAGGGACCAGGCCCTACCCTCTCTCTCCCCACACTCTGGACTCTCCATGTCTTTCATCTGAACCTATAGCAACAGTCAACTGTTTGCACCCACTTTGTATCTTTTTCATAAGGTCTCATATACTGTAAAATGCTTACCTTTTTCCTCTGTGGTGGGTTTTGCGGGGCAGATGGAAGTCCTTCACAGGTCCTTTCACCACCAGGTGACATGGATCCACGAGAAAGGTCTTTCATAAATCCATGTTCATATCTGCTGGGAAACCCTTCTGCAGGGGAACAATATCCCCCATCCAAATGTAAAGGTTTCCTATCCCCTACTAGAGGAGACCCTCGATATAATCCATCTGCTCGAGGCATAGCGTTCAAAGGGGAGTAGGCATACATTAAGTTAAACTCTGTCCGAAATGCCTGGTCCGAGGTTCTTACAAGGGTCTGATGTCCATCTACATTCCTGCTTGGAAAGCCGGACTCCGAGGTGGGCCCGATGGAGGGATGAGAAGCCAGGTCAGAATGACCTGAGTTGAGCTGAGAAGGTCTGTCAGCACAGTTGTTAGTGTTGGAGTCGTGGTATCCTACTTTTGTCAAATCCATGTCTTTTCGGTGACAAAGCTAGAAGAATAAACATCAACGAAGACATGGGGTAGGGGAGAAAGGAAAACGTCAAAGGGCAGAAAGGAAGGGAGGTGAGAGGGGCATAGGTGAACAAGGAAAGATGGAAGTAGAGGAGGAGAGAAAGCCATTAATATATGTAAAGGTCCCAAGTAGCAACAGTGTTATCTAGGCCAGATTACTAAAAAATCTTGCCTTCTCCCAATCTGCTTTAAAGTCTTTCTGAAGAACAGTGGGAAAGTCAGAATTAGGTAATTGGCCAAATGTGACTATTTTGCCTGCTTAGCCTTTCATCAGGTTTGCTGAGTCACCTTGTAGTCACATGCTACACTAAGGGACTTGGCATTATAATTTGGGATTTACCTGAGCCCCATGCACATTACAGAGGTGAGACTGGTGTTATTTATTCCTAAAATTAATAGTGATGGAAGGTAGGGGTGGGGGAAGAAAGGTGAAGGAAAAGATATAGACAGAAAGGTGAGTACTGAAGTTACTGGTTCAGTAAAGAAGGATGGTATTAAAGATGCCAACCAGCCAGTACTTCATTCACTTTCACTACTAAGTAGGTGCAATTCTCATACAACGTTCAGACCACTCAATTCTTTATCCTCTAATGTAGGTCAACATACCTCAAGACCACTGGGAATCATCAGTGCAGAGCATCTGCAATTTTACACTGTACCAAAAATAAACCCCACAAACTATTTGGTTATCATTCCCTCCTAACACAAAGATTTTCTCACCACAGGTCAACTAGTTACCTCTACAAACAATGGTACTATTCTTTACACCACTAGGTCAACTACAACTAACTCTGTACAGAGAATGGTACCAGAAACCTAGATATCACACCATATCAGCCTCCAAATTATGCTATCTCAGAATCTTTAACAACTGAGAAGAGCTTCACTTTCCCTGTAACAGTGAGTGAAACCACTTGGAACACTAGAATGCAACCTTTTTCAATTTTACATTAATTTAAAAAATCCTACTGATTCAGAATTTGCTCACCTGTCACTGAGTTCAGCTCCAATTTTTGATTAGGGTGGTGGGGTATACATATACACTTCAAATCATTCCTGAAGGTTATGAGGGAATGTAACTGTCTCTTTTAGAGGAAGGTTTCATGGAGATTTGTGGAGTTAATCATTATTATTATTTGTTGAAATTTTAGAAAAATTAAGAATCTCTAGCCCTATAATCAGAATTTAACAACTCTATAGCTTTTCTGAGAAAATGCACTCAACTGATTATCTCCGAGACACTCAACTGAGATACACTTGTACAGCACCAATATCAACAATCATTGCAGGAATGAAGGCCTGTGACACAGAAGCCATGGACTGACTTAGCAGTTTCTCTGAGTACCCTGTAAGGAACAACAGGAAAAGGGTAGGAGAATTGAGAGAAAAAATTACTCTCAATTCCCAAAGAAGCTGCTTAATTAACAAAAATCCAAGGCATTTGGTTACACAGAACTGTCAGATTAACCTGTAGTAAGGCAAAATCACTGCCAACTTTTCCAATGTAAGCCATTGCCTATCAGTGTAAGATATAATAAATATCAAAAGACAGCTCCTAGCAATTTTTGATTCAATGTCCTTTCTTAGCAAAAGAGACCTTATCTGTTAGACTTTAACAAGGCTCTCTACCACGTCGCCTCCTTTAAACTTGACTTCTAGATTCTATTCTTGTTTAATAAACTCTTCAGCCATTCCCTCCCCCGAAACAACAAAAACAAACCCCACCATACACACAGCTACTTCATCTTCCTCCATCTAGAATGTGATAGTCCTGAGTAGTCACAGTCACATGGGAAGAATTATTCAACTTCCTGCGACCAATCAGCCACCCTCCATCCCATAACCCCATTCACTCTAGTTCCCCCAGCCCTCCCCACACACTCAGATACACTCACTCTCAGCCTCCCACTGTGATTGAGATGGTGTGATAACTACCTCGGGTGACAGGGACTCGGGCCTATTCGCAGGGGAACTCTCAGGGGAGGATATGTTCTAGAGGAGGGAAAAGCATCTTGTTATTCATCTACTCGAAGTCAAGAAGCAAAACAAAACAAACAAAAAATAAAGTAAAAGCAAGCATAGATGTTAGCCACAACTTTTTTTTTTTTGGAAGGAGTAGGGATGGGAAGTAAGAATGCATAGGGAAATGTTTAACTACAGAATTCATCTCAATGGAAAGAATGACTGGTTGAAATGCTTCCTTTTGTCTTTGGAAGCATTTATGGGTAAATAAGTTATAATGTGTCATGCTACAATTAAAAAACTCAAGCAGATAACAGGAAAGAGTTAAACTGGTGAAATTTTGTAGTACATTTGTTTTGTATTTTAGATGAGTTTAGCAACATATACTATCTGTTACTGAGTAGGACTCTACCACTTAGTCTCCCTCAGAGGAACTCTTTTCCTTATCTCCATGTCCTTTTCTGATCTTCACATTCCTTCATTTTTTTTTCTATGCTTCAGGTCTACCACTGTCATCCAGGGGGTGTTGCTTAGCATGCTTAGGGCTGACAGGGATATGGTAACACATAGTTCCTCTTGAATGACTATTATAGGAAATGTGATTAATGCACTCTCTAGCACAGCCTAGATTTGGTTCTTGGCATAACCTATTTGGATCTGAGTGCTCCTACCAATGATGTCTAACGTTAAATCTTCGTACTTTTGGGAACATAGCACATGTATATACTTCGAGTCTCTATGACCAAAATAGGGTTACCCTTGGGGCTTTCAGCTGAGGTACCACTCCTATAACAAACATGAACTGGGCAGTGAGCTCTTGCTGGGAAGATCTGGACAGTAAAATAGAGAGAGTGGTGGTGGTAGTTGTGATGAGGCTTCAGGTCAGGGCTGGGACAAGGGGGAGGGGTTCCTAATTGTAGACTTTGGAAAACTCAGGACTAGGTGCCAGGTCTATGCTGAGGTAGGGAAACTGAGGCTGTTGTAGCAGACCAGGGTCTTGGCTGTGAATTTTTGGGAGGGAGGTGGGTGGTTTATTGTGCAAGATATGTGTTATGTGTGATGGGCAACAGGGTATGGACCCCAAAGCAGTAAGAGAAAGAAGGGAAGAGCTACTCTGTTGGAAAGAAGATGCTAATGAATTGAGCTTGCCCTCCCAACACTACTTCCACTCCTTGATGCTTCCTTTCTCAAGATCTTGTTCTCTTCCACTCTATACCTCCTACCCTTAGTATGGAGAGATTTCTCATCCTTCTCCTGAAATGTTACCTTTTATTTTTTCTTTTCAAAAATATTCTTCACCAAACTAACCTGGTCATTATCTGGTACATCTGTTTGGTATTTCTCTGTGTGTCTTAAAAGTCTAAAAACCATTTCTCTATTAGAATACAAGAAAAAGTATGGCAATTAGAATAGTGATAAGGATAGGTCAGTATGGTGAAGTTTTGTTTTTTAATTGATAATGAAGGCTGTATTTTCTTAGATAAATCACCAGTTCAAAACAGTGGGAACATACATTGGATTTTTTGAAAGGAAGGGCTATTAAAAAATAATATATTTTCTCTCCCGCTTGATAGTTCAACATTATGCTTGGGCCACATATCACTAAATTGTTGTTGGTTTCTTTCTTTTTTTAAAAAAAATAAAAATACCTTACACTTGCATAATTATCCAATATGCTATACACTGAGTGCAAAACGTGGCTGTTTTGAAAGGTGATTCACCTTCATTTATAATAAAAGATGCATTGATAAGGTAATAAAGAATAAAACCCTGTTCCTCTAATTTACTGCCTTCCAGGGAGAAAAATTTGCTCCCATGAAATCTTACCAGAAATCTCTAGTTGCTACAGTGAAATATGAACTGCAAGTAGACAAAGTCAGTCCTGAGTCATTTGCTTTCCTATCTGGCTAACAAGAATGCCATGGGGATTTAATAAAGAGTGAACATGGTTTAGGGCAACTTCCTTAAAAAATCAAATGTTAACCAGGTACCCACCCATCTCCCAAAAGGTCTGTTCCAAAAGTTAATATGGTTTGGAGTTAGAACACAGCCACTTTCAAGCTTGCTGCTATTTCTTTCTGAGTAAGCTCTGTAAGAATTCACGTATTTTTAATTCTCATGCTCTCATCAAAGCTGAACGGAGAGGATGGTATTGGCTAGAAGATTCACCTTTATCAAAGAACACATGTGGAGAAGTGCAAGCTGGGGGCAGAGCTGTGTGTTTAACAGTCAAAACAAATTTTTCCAAGAAACAGGAAGATATAGTTTTAATTATCAGTCAAAATAATATGCAACAGAGAAGTATTTTGTACACAGATTCTATTTAGCAAACCTGCTGTCACCCAATCTTGAATACTTAAGTGATTCAGAATTACTTTTTGAAATAACTGAGACATATATTTCTAACTTAATCCAAAGAGTGAATGTAATAAATTTGTATCTGATAAATGCATGTTGCTAGCTTATTGTCAAATTCTCATTCTTAAAACATTATAAAAAAGGAAGGAAGTAACCTGGAGTGGGGGAAAAAAACCCTCATTTTCTATAAACCATACTTCAATGCATTCTAAATCCTTGTAGTCTGAGGCCACAATGAGAATACAAAACAACAGGGCAATGACACTTCACTGACTCAAGCCCTAGAAGCAGACACACAATCAATATAATCTGAACTCTCAAGCTGGTGTCATTATGGTTACTACAGGCAGTTAGAGGCCTACTTTAACCAAGGAACACAGTAAAGATAAAGATGGAGATCTAGCATGCTTAGTATTACCTAAAGTTTTGGAGACAAATCGACTACATGCAAGAGAGATGAATGTGATCTGTGTTTCTTTTAGGGAAAGTACAGTGGCTGCCAAGATGAGAGGCTACCAGGTAATAGGTCACACTGACCCTGAGGTTTCCCATTCTTTTGTTGAAATAGGGAAGGATATGGGAAAGAAACATTTGGAATGATGTTATATTTGAAATGTGGTACAAATGATGATTTTTACACCCAGCACTCCCAACTACCAAACCCAAATCACCTCAAATTGCAGAGGAGTATTGCAGCGACTAGCAGTAGCAAGAGATGTGATTGGTGAGAACATGAGGCTATATCCATTCCGACAATCCTCTTCTCCTGGGTGAGGTGGACCTGGTATGATCAGCTGGGGGCTCTTTGATCCTGGATTGGAAGGGGGTGGTGTGACTGGAGATAGAGGCTGTAGTAACTTGGTGACATTCTGCTCCATCAGATAGCGAGACTTCCATTTCTTTAATGGGCTCAACAAGTCTGCGAAACACAAAGCTTGGTAAGAGTCTGAAACCATAGCTTAATGGAGAATATGTAGAAAAGCCATTAATCTCTAATTTACAATGGCTTTTAACTCTTCTTTTGCCATATCCCATTAAGTTATCTCTTCCAATCAACCCAAAAGCCCACAAAAACTTTTAACTTTTTAACCGAGTATCAATTTTAATATTTAAAACCCTGTATCTCTCAGAAAAACTTCAGATGAACCTGACACATCTAATGACTGATCCTTGGAACTTAGTCAACTTAAGTCTCTTTCCAGTATAAAATATGTATTTTTTCCTGAGTTTCTGAAAATCTCACATCAGTGTCACTTCGTTAAAAATCACCCTTGATCCAACTGCTACATCACCAACTGAAGCTACTGGGATGCTAAATCCACATTCTTTTGATCTTTTTATGTATTTCTGCTACTTTTCAGCAGCTCTTTCTATGATGTTGTTTTAGTTGGAAAAAGTTATACATGATTTCCTGATCCTTGTCTAGCCCTTAGTTTTGTTTGTTGTTGTTATGTGCCGTCGAGTCAGACCCGACTCATAGCGACCCCTCCTTGGGTTTCCGAGGCAGTATCACTACGGAAGTAGATTGCCCCATCTTCCTTCCGGGCCCTTAGTTTTAGAGTGGATCAAAAATGTGTAATGACTTCTACAAAGACTCCTCCAATCATTTTTAAGAACTAGGAGGATACTCCTTTTCTGATTAGAATCATAGTAATTCTTAGACTTCTTCCACAATATAAGCAGGTTCACTTAAAATGCAACTTAATACCATATATTTTAGTTACTGTTGAGACCAAACTACCCATCTCATTTTCTCAGAGAAAACTACTTTAATTCATGTATAGCTAGAAGTTATTTATTTACATAACCCACTGCCGTGGAGTTGGATCCAACTCATAGAGACCCCTCCTTGGGTTTCCAAGGCAGTATCCCTACAGAAGTAGACTGCCCAACCTTCCTTCCAAGGAGTGCTCAAACCCACCAACCTTCTGGTTAGCAGTCAAATGCCTTAGGCACTAGGCTACCAGAGCTCCCATTACATAATACCTACTATATATATGCAGACCACTGAACTAGGTATATGGGGGAATGGATACCATATAACGTTTTCAAGAGGTTTATGAATTTGTAAAACAAAACAAAAATATAAGTTTAAGACTCTTGTGATCATAATGCTATGTGGTAGTAAAAAAATTGCCATATTTTTAAAACCTATAAATCCAACAACATTACTGTCAACATCCAAGATACGGATAGAGAGGTATCAGGTAATATGGTAATATGGCTCCTAACAACTTTTTAATTACTGTGTTAAATTACATTCCCAAATGTGTTATATTTATCCCTTTTCCTTTCCTCAAGGAAAAGTTTTAGAACACCAGGTCAAAATCAGAGTTACGCTTCAGGAAGATTAATATGGCAGTAAAGTGTAGGATGAAACTAGGAAACTTTTAATGGAGGAGTTGACATAAGGAGGTACACAAGGCACTGAACCGAAGTTAATAGATGCTGAAATGGAGAGGAAAAAGCAAGTGCAAAAAAATACTAGAGATGCATATTTTCCTTTTTGATACTTCAACATTTTTTGTTTTCCTAGACTGGAAGTATATTTGTATTTTCCTTTTGCTGTAGATACTAAGTTTTCTTTCCTCCTTTTTTTTATTAAAGTGACTAGGTATAGAAAACATTTGACCTACAGTTTATATTTAGAATAACTTTTATATATTTCAAGAGTCATTAACATTAAATCTTTTACAAGACTGTTAGGCCTAACACTGTAGATACTCAAGGCAATTATATAAATTATAAAATTCATTGTGGAAAAGTTGGAAGATACAAATGAACTCCCTGGCCCACAAATCAATTTATAGGGCATACATTCAACAAATATTTACCAAGCATTTTTCCTGATACTGGATTGAGCAAAACAGACCTGACATCCGCCCTTATAAAGTTTATGGGCCAATGGTCATTTGTTTACGTTTTTTCTATTGAACAATTTTTTTTTTCTCCAAGTTTTATTCTCTTTTGTTATTTGTTACCATATGCATCTTTTGTGTTGCATATGGTCAAAATCTATACATCTTTTATGGTATTCTACATTTGCTCATATAAGCCCTAAGAGTATATAAACAAATATTTACATATTTAAACACTGACACTCCATACCTTAAAATCATACCTACATATAAAAACACTGCTAATAAATACTGTGGTGTATTTTCACCCAGATCTCTCTGTTTGACTAGGCCACTGACTCACATCTTAACAACAATGCTCTGTAACCTATTATTTTCATTCAGAAATATATGGTAAAATCTTTATAAGATAATAGAAATAAATCTATAATTCAATTTTCAATGGTACATGGCAAGTATATTATTATAATTTAACCAATGTAAGTATTTTTCATTTTTTTTTGCTATTATTAAACATACTTCAATGACCAATAATCTTCTTACACATTTCAGCGTTCTGTTTGATTATTATTATTTTAGGACAAATGGCTAGATAAAGAATTGCTAATTCAAAGGAGTATTTCCATAGTTTCACTGGTTTTATATTTATTCTTGAGTGAACTGCCTGCTCACGCCTTCAGCTCAGATTCTAGGTATTGTCTTTTTTTTGATTTGTGTCAATAAGGATGTTGACCTTTGTCAAAAATGTTACAATTATCTTTTGTCTTTTAATTTCAGTCATAGTCTTTTTTTGCTACATATGGTTTCCCATTTTTGTCAAATAAATTTAATCATTTCCTTTATGTTCTGTCAGACATTTACCAAATCTTTCATCATGTCTGAACATCTTTGCCATGCCACCACAAGACTATTTAAAAGACTAGCTTATTTTTCCTCTGTCTCCGAGTTTTCTTTAAGGCACCAACAGGACATAATTTTTAGTAAAGTGGTTAAGGCAATTCAAGATATTTTCTCTCTTCTCAAAACAGTTTACTCTAGCATACTTTTTCTTGTCAATGAACTACAGAATCATCTGTCAATCCATGCTCATATTATCACAGAAAAAACATGTTAGGATTTTGATTGGGGTCCGTTAAATTCATGAGTAAAGTGAGCACCACGATCACTCAGGAACACAGCATGATCCTTTAGTCACTCAAGCCTTTGTTTCTTATCTTCCTAGAGCTCACCATATTTCAAATTAGTTTTACTCTTAAATGTTCTTTTTTTTTTTAACTCCTGTGCACAAGATGTTTTGTATAGTATGTTATGCCAATTGAGCTTGATGTCCCCTGCGACTATTCTCCCTTCATATTATCTCAACTATAACAACATTTATGTACTCCCTTCATATTATCTCAACTATAACAACATTTATGTACCTATTTTGTATCTTAAAAAAAACAAACCAAGGAAGACTAGGCAACCTACTTGTCTACTGATACTGCCTTGGAAACCCAAGGAGGGGTCGCTATGAGTTGGATGTGAATCGACAGCAGTGAGTTTTTTTTTTTTTTACATATAAAATAGGTATGTAAATGTTTTATTTGAGATAATATGAAGGAAGAAATATGTCCTGTTCACAGTATCTAGCCACCCTACTGATTTCTCCACCAGTTTTTCAGTTAATTCTCTTGGCTTTTCCAAGTAAATGATTTGTATGGAGTACATCCTCTTTAACTGTATTTTTATCTACCATAGTATTTTTTGGTAATCATTTTGGTTAACATGATAAATAGAAGCAATAAGTGGGATTCTTTGACAGCTCATTTTAAGGCTTGATGTAGCTAGTTTACTTACGTATTTTTACAATAATTGGCAACTGACTTCAGACATTAAGAAAGTATCTTATTAGGAGATATTTCTGAATTTTATCAAACTCACAGCATTTATTGTGCTAATATACTTCCTATTCCATTTCACCTGTTATTAAATGAATTATACTAATAAAATTTCAAATAATGAACTATCCTTGTATTTGTGGGAAAAGCCTTATTTGGTCACAATATTCTTTTAAAAGTCTTACAAATCCAATGTGCTAATTAAGACTGGAAATCTAATCTCAAAGTAGTACCCTGCCTTTTTTTTTGGAGGGAGTGTGTTTAAATTAATTTGATAAACTGATTTAGGAGTAAACTTGTTAATGAACACTGTAAACTATTCCATGTCAAAAGTATATGTAAATAGCAGATAAACATCAAATTCCACCATCCCTTTACTGGTTAAAATTCAGGTTATTTCTCCCTACTTAAAAAAAAAATCACTAACAAATATATTAGTAATATGATTTCTAATATATATATAACTAATAATTCTATAAATAATGTCTATGTACATACACTGTGGTTTATACATACTTCTGTAGAACAGATACCTAAAACAACAACTACTAGGTTAAGGGATACAAGTATTTTTAATGCTCATGATAAATCTTAGTAAAGATATAACTCTCGTCATTTTTACTGCAAATCTTTTACACCTTGATGTACTTGTATTTGTTCTCTATTAATTCATTAACAAATTTAGACACACGAATTTTCTTTACTGTTTGATTTATATAATTACTTGCTTGTGCCCAGCATCTGTTTTGGCAAAGATCTAAATCTTTTTCATCTTCCCAAATAAATAAGAATTCTAGAACAATTTATCAAATCTTTAATTTCTATTAAGGCCTGTGTCTAGCTATTTTGTTCTGTGTATATGTCCATTTCTACACTAGTACCATTGAATTATTTACTAATTTCATGGTTCTAGAAGAAGTACTTTATCATTAGTCTTCATTTTTTCCTTATATCTTCATGCTTACTCTTAGATAAACTGCAAAATCATTTAATCAAATTTCAAACACAAGTTGTTTATTTCTGATGAAAACTATAAAGCCTGAGACACATATTACAAATTAATGCCTTATCTTCAACCTGCAGAGGAGCTGTTGAGTTTGAATCGCTGACCTTCTGGTTAGCATCCAAATGCTTTACCCACTACACCACCACAGCTCCTTAGATGAATAGGTATATATGAAATTTCCTTAACGGTATTTATTCTATTAGGGATTATATGGGATCGGTGCTCATTTCTTCAATTCTTTAAAAAATACTTCTCAGCAATGGTTTGTTCTCCATGTACCACAAAGATTATTACTAGGCAGTTTCTTAGTTTTGTTAAGTATGAGAATGAAGTATTTTTCTTAATCCTCTCAGTATATAAATGTTACTCATTTTTGTACATTCACATTGTGTCTGGCAACTTCATTCATTCAAAATTTTTCAGCTGACAATGCTCTCCTAGACTGGGAAATGTTTTGTTTTGTTGTGCTGTAGAAAGGATCACCATGAGCCAGAACTGACTAGATGGCTCCTAACAGATATTTACTATCTTTTATTTCTATACAATTTTAACTTTTGTGAATTTATAAATTTTAATGTATTCTAGTATCTGACTAGTTTCTTTCTGTAAATGTTCCAGGAATGCTTGATAAGAGTATTTACTGTAGAATAACAGTAATTTTTTATTATGGGTCTGATACTGTGTTGAGCACTTGATGCAATAATTTAATCTTACAGTGGCACAAGTGAAGTAATAGGCTGTTAAATGAAAGGCTGGCGGTTTGATCCTACCCAGCAGCTATGTTCATATGCTTCTGAAAAGATTACAGCCAAGAAAACCTTATGGGGCAGTATAACTTTGTCACATGGGGTGACTATGAGTTGAAATCAATACAATGGCACCTAATAACAACAACAAAACTCTTTAGCAGGCATTACTACCCTTATTTTACAAATGAGTCTTAGAGGTGTTTAGTAACTTGCCCAACGTTGAACAGTTAATAAAATGCAGAACCGGTCTTTAATGTCAGGTCTGTTCTATTTTTTCTACTGCACCTAGATATTTCTTTCTTAATGTCTCCTTGCTCTTCTTAGAAAACAAAACTAATTAAAAAAAAAACCCTAATGTAACAAATACAAATAATTCCTCAGCATTTATATTAACTGGTAGCAGTATAATGAGGCACTCATTTGACTACTGCTTAGCTTTATTAACTATTTTCCTACTGTTTATGTTGCTCCTTAAGTGTAAGGTGTGTCCTTCTGAATGTTTCTCACTGGTAGAGACTAGAGCAGAAGCTCAATAAAGGTTGGTGACTTAGTCCTAATTCCAATCCACCCAGGACACACAGTAACAAAGGCACTTTCCCTATGGGTCCTTTGCCAGTCAGGACATGAATTGCTATATACTTTGCCTTTCCCAACCTTAAATATATATCTACATCTCTCTCTCGTGCACGCACACACACACACACACGTGTGCCTATGTGTATATACAATAAAAAATATTTCAGCTAAGTTATGTCTTCACTAGACTTTAAAAGCTGTTGATAAACTGGCACCAGGATTACTGCAGAGTATTAATCTGGTCTGTCCCTAATCTTCAACAAAATACTTAATAGAAGATTTAAAATGCACATCATTTATCTTCCAGATGTTCTATAATGAGATTTTATTATCCCTGTGTTACCCACGTGATAGTTTATGAGATATAATCCAATCTAGAGATAGAATAAAGTCAGTAATTAAAAAAGTAGCCCACATTAGAATCCATATTAAAAAAATTATCCAGAATGTTAATATAAAGCAGATATTACTAATATACATTTATCTAATTAAATCTAAATCAGGAATTAATTAAAATTCAAGCCATAATATTTACTTAGCAAGTCAATGAACAGGAACAATAAGGTGGGATTTATGCGAATGTGAAGTATCATGTTAGCTGTAGTCTTACATGAGCTTTAGAAACTAATTTATTTTAGTATTTTGTTTTGGTTGCATAATAGTCAGAAAACTCATTTAGAAATAAATTTATGGAAATAGTAATAGTGTCCTGAAATCACAGGGTTTTCAATTAAGCTGATATTGACAGAAGAACCTTTGATAAACCAACTGCTCCAAAATGACCTAAGTTGGTTATTACAGTTAATGTATTGGTGCTTTTAATTGCAATTCGATTAAACGCTTGCAAGAGTCACTGTGAGCCAACGGTTCAGATGATTTTTCAAGGCCACCTAGTTTAAAAAAAACTCATGAAGACTTTAAATTCAAGGCTGTGTCTTCCAAAAACTTTTATATTAATTGTATAAGCCCTTTTGGAAATAACCATTTGCCAATAATTCCTTGTTTACTTAATTCCCCGCCCCTTCAACCAAGCCCTCGCCCAACTCAATCACATAGAATTTTATGATTCTTTCCTGAATATTAGTGTTCCACCACTTTGTTGCCTTTTTTCTTCTTATAAATATGGATATAGATTTCCTAAACTTACTACTTTAAATGTATCTAACCTTTTCATAACCATTTCTGCTGTTATCTGTACACTGTCTAGTTCCTTCTTTGCCGTCCTGGGAAAACTGATCCCTGACTTGAGATCTCTTCCTCTGTAAAGACAGATGTAAAGTAACTATTTAGAGAACAATGCTATTTCTTTTTTTGTATCATACTTTTATGTATTCATACCAACAATTTTTATATGGCCCTGAAATAATCATTGTTCGTGTATCCAGAAAGGTCTTAGATATGTACCTGCATTGTCTTTGCAGATGCTAGAAGAGTTACTGTTTTCATTACTTTGGTACAGGTGCTGAGTTCTACTCTCTTGGGGTACAGGTGATGTTTGAGTCATCCCTTCTTCCAAGGCTTGCTTTATCCAGCGCTAATGGGAAAAGAACCAAGGAATTATCAATAATCATTAAAAACTACTCAGTATACCTATTTTAAATGTATTAACTATGTCACTACACATCAACTGGTGAGAGATGCAATCCAACACACTCATTCAGTTCCATAATCAATATATGTTATGTCTTGCATTTCAGCATATTAGAACATTGCCCCATCAATTCCTTCTACTGGGCAAAATTCAAACAATCTGATTACACACGAGAGAGAGCCCATCAAAACACCAAAACCAATTAAAAAGTAGTTACTGTACAACATTTCATACTGCTTAAAATGGGGAAGAGATAAGGAAAAACCTTAACATTTATCTGAGAGAGACTCTGATCATATAGGATGATGCAGCTAGTATATAAAACAAATGCCTTCAAGGATAAAGATCTCTTAAGAATTGTCGGCCCTGTGCTGGGGATACCTGAAGAGAGAATAGGAAAGATTCACATGAAGACTCTGGATGAGAATAAACAGCTCCTCACTATAGGACCAAAATATTTCTGAAAGTCTATTTGCAAATGGAATATTCTGTGGGATTTTTACCTTCATCAAGTAGTTTAAACTATTCATGAATAATGCAAATCACCAGAAGGACCGTCTACAGAAATCAAAAAGGGGAAAAAGTAAAAAAGAAGCACTCTACTCAGTCACATATTTCTGTAGTGAATATTGGAACCTAAATTGATAAGAGATATTGGGTCAGACAGTGAAACTGTAAAGATTATGATAATAAAATTATGCATCCTGTGGAAGAGAGAAAATTTCTTACCTGTAATTGTGTTCTCTTAAGATACACAGTTGTAGGTTCTCACCACTCTGTGGCTCTCCTGCCCTGACGTAAGACAGATCGAATTTTGATAAACATCAATTTCGGAGTCAGACCCTCCCCCAAGTAGGAAGAGCAAAGGTGAATTATTTTAATTTTATACCTTAAAGAGCAAGTATTACAGGTAAGCAAATATTCTCTTTACCAAAGAGAGCAATTCTATTACATTTTCCCTTAGAAATTAAAGAAAATCCAGAGGAACAACTCAGGAAAGGAGTATGAGAATGGCTGCACAACTTGAAGAACATAATCAATGTCACTGAACTGTGCACATATAAACTGTTGAATATGCATGCTGTGCTATACATGCACTCAACAACAAAATAAATAACACTTAGGAAAAAAGAAAAGAAACCAGGAAAAATTCACCAAGAAAAATTTTAGAGCATGTGAATGTCATTGTGATCTATCAAATGAAACCAAAATAAAATAATAACCTGAGGCAGTAAGAATGAATGAATATACAAAAGAGATCTCAACAGTCATTTGAATCATATCAATGTTTTAGGATATGACTAAGTCTCTGAAAAGCCCACACAAAAAACACTGAATATTGATGTGAAGATGAATTACCAGACTCATAGAACCTTACAACTTAGAAGGGACTTTAGAGGTTATTGTGTCCAAAGCACTCATTTCACAGATGGGAAAAATTAGCCCCAAGAGGACAAAATGAGTGAAAATCCTTTGTTATAGATACCTTAAGTACAAGTTTTTTCTTTTCAGAGCAGATGACAGGACTCATTTGGGATCACTGTGCTTTTCTCCAAGAGAAGTTAATTTCTTATATTTCCAGTGTTAAGTAGATGCACCCATAAAAGAATTTATATTCTGGATCTGATGACTACAAAAAGGGAATATAAAACCAGAAGAGAGGCATTCTAAGGAATAAGATGCTTCTATGGTTAGCTATTAAGGTCAAACATAGCAAACATAGTTAAACTAATTCACCTGGCCCTGTTACATGTTTCCACAATATTCCAGGGCTCATAAAAACAAAAAAAAAACCCATGAACATCTGTTTATATTTAACAAGTTCTAATCACTGCTATGGATAACAAATTAACTTTAGACCTCTTCATATGTCTTCCTCCATCCCTACCCCCAGTTCCTGCCTGTTGTTGTTATATGCCTACAGTTGTTAAAAACCATAAAAACCTTTCCTTTTACTTTGAAACTCTGTATTGAATTACAAAAGCATTTTTTAAGGTTCAGAGGGTGAGAGAATTATTTTTAAAGGGTCCGTCTTATTTGAAGGACATCTGATGGAGTTGTGGATAAGGCCAGAAGGTCACCAGTTCAAACCCAGTAGCCACTGTGTAGAAGGAAAATGGGGCAATCTACTTCCATAAAGATATACTGCCTCAGAAACCCAATGGTGGTCACTATGAGTCGGAATCAACTAGACGGCAGTGAGGTTTTTCCCCCCCCATTTTCCTAAGGAAAGAATAAGGAAATCTGTGTTTTTAAGCCCGAAGACCTAGACTGAAATCTGGCTGTGTGTGTGTCACTTAGTAAGTGTCCCACTTTGGACAAGTTACCTAACCTTTCCAAGCTTCAGCTTCTGGATCTATAAATCAAGACCGATAATCTCAACTTCACAGAGCTGTCAAGAAGTTAAGTGAGAAAATGTATGTAAGGAAAGCTTGTAGCACAGTACTCCTCTTACAGCAGATGTTCAATAAGAACTTATTAACTGAATTTCAATGACCCATACAGAGATACACAAATGAATAACTTTCTACTACGTACAATGGAATAACAATGCAAAACACAGTATTTTCTTATCAGGCAGGTTGGTTTATCTAATCTAGGAGACCAAATATCCCATACTTATTTCTATGTTTATCAGGTAAACGGAGAGAAGATTTACAGAGAACAAGGTGGGAAACTATAGAAAAGCTTGCTGGTCATTTACGCTTTTAGAGTTAAGAATTGAAGTAAGATTCAAGAAGATAAACCACAGGATACTTTTAATTTAGAAATTCCATAGCTATTCATCAAATGTTCTCTCAAAGGCTCTAAGAACCTGCTGATACATGACCAGGGGGTGCAGATACACACATGCAACTTTAATTTGCTTTACATTATTTTTAACTTATGAGACTTTTACCTCTTTAATGAACTAGTGGACCTATTAGGAATAACAACTAATCCCAGGGAGGATGGTTTTTGTCTCCTATCTTTTTAACTTACATTATTGTCTAAGACAGTTTCAGAAATTTTTAAAAAATTTGTTTATTCAATGAAACATTCTTAAGTCCTACACTAGATCAATCCTTTCCAATCTATAAACTGCTCCCCCCATCCTCACCCAGGATAGAGCTGAATTCAATCTCTAGTTCAAAGACCCAATTTCATTAATTTTGTCCTGTAAGAAGCGATATCCTTATTGTAACACAGTACTGATATGTTCATAGTAAATATTAAAGCAGCAATTTAAACTTAAACATTTTTAGAGCAAAAATCCAATCTAAATAAAACAATCTTTCTATGATCATTAAGTGTACATAAATCAAACTCTTCCTGAAGACTGATTATGACACATATAGATTAAAAGTGTTTGAGCATACTGTATAAAATAAGACTAAGGATGATCAGACACATTTGGAGAATGTAGTAAGACTTGAGCTAAATGGGATTTCTCTCTGTTGCCAGTAGAGATATAAAGATGAACTAGATTCAAGTCCTAAACCATAGCCAGATAAAAAGAGCTCTAAGAAATGGATTTTCTATCACATCCAATTGGAAGTCACGGTCCTAAACACGTTTTTTGCAATTTACAGGTCTACATTGTTGGCACAGTGCCTAAGGCATTTGATTGCTAACCAGAAGGTTGGCGGTTCAAAACCATCAGGTGTTCCACAGGAGGAAGATAAGACAATCTACTTCTGTGAAGATCTACAGCCTTAGAAATCCAATGGGAGTTGCTGTGAGTTGTAACTGACTCATGGCATTTTTTTTTTTTTTAATACTAGTTGGAAAAGATAGGAATGGAAATTTTGTACCGTATCATCAGAACTAGCAAGAAGGCATTTCAAGAGTCTAGTCCACACTATTTACCAACAGACTTTGCTATTAATCTGTAATGAATTGTCTACCCTTGTTCAAGGGTCAAAATAGGAGATTCCACTCCCTAGTTTGATACAATGCTTCAATAGTTAACACTCTCAGAAACCTAGTCCTATATCCAGCAAAACACAAAAGGAAAAAGTTTGTTTCATATATATTAAGCCACCTCTCAACTTGCTCCTCCTTTCGATTAAAGACCTTATCACCTACATTCTAATTTTTTAATACTATTCTCACAACAGCTAAGATTTTGAGCTGTTTTTCTTAATGAGGGACAGAACAAAGCTAAGTGTAGCAGGCAGATTAGTTCTCAGTACGTTCCAAGACCCAATCCTTCCTTATTGCCTAGGCAATTTTCTGGCAAAAAACAGCTTTTGAGAAATTTTCTAGTATTATTGTCTTTTTTTTTTCCCCTTAAGAAATCTGTCATTGTTTCTATTTCCATCACTCACCACGTTACTGCATTATCTACAAACCCTTTTGGCAAGGATCCCATGGTCAAATTTCTCTTTAGAGTTTCTTCTATTTGGGAATTCCCCCAAACAAACTAATAAGTGATTCAGATATTGAGGTTAAGATGTGTAATTAGGAAAAGATTCTCTTCAGTGTGTGCTGCTCATTCAGCAAGTGTCCTTCCCTTTTGCACAGATCCCTGTTGCCCTCCTCCCTCCATATCCCATACCACTCTGGCTCATCTTCCACCCACCTTCCCCCCAGAAATAAGTTCTGTTCTTTGGGTAAAGAGAAAAGCTTTAAGTTTGGAGGAGTCAGGGAAGACCTGCCTGGAGTTGGAGACTTCATCACATCAAATAATCTACATGCAGCATCCTCATGTACGTGATGCCAGTGGAGGAGGGCAATGGCAGACACTGAGGAAGGCAGCCTGAATCCAGATCTGAGGATAAGAGAAAAGGGTGTTCCAGGGAACAGACTCTACCTCAAAGGAAGACCAAATGAAAGGTTGTCCTATACTTCTAGAAACATGGAATCAACATTATAGTCTGAGGGAGCAATCTATTCCTGAGAGACACCTTTGGAAAATATGCACAGCTTCTGGGAGTTAAGAGAGAACATTCCATAAACAACCACCAAACACTACTGCCACTAGATCCAAAAACAGTATGTAACTAAAGAGAGGAGAGGCAGGCAGAGAGAGAGACTTTTATAGTAGGTTCCATATTCACTAGGGAATAAACAATCCAACATGTTGTCATTTGATCAAGGGAACACGAACTGTGCCAATTACGATTAGATTTTTCCTTTAATCACCTTCAAATAACAATAATACTGATTAAATTAATTCAAAACACGACTCAATCATTTTAAACTTATGCAACAGTGCTCTAGATTATCTGGAGCACAATCACATACACTATTCACAAATGGATATTTTAATCAATACCACAAGAGCACACACAAAAACACCCCTCCCTACCCAGTCATCAACTGCTGTGCGCACTCACTCAATAACCTCAAGGGCTCTTAGAAAAGACAACAGTGAATACTCACAAATTCGATCATACAGTCTACCTTAAATCCCACTGACTCTTGATGCATCAGTATTAATGGTTGAACAACTAACTTGTTATAAACTCACATGGGCAGACAATGGCTATCTAGAGAGTGTGTTAGATGTCAGGATTATAGGCATCCTGAGTGATAAAAAACATAAGCATAGACATACCTTCTTACAGGAGCTGAAAGTACCATCAGGCAGAAGGGGCCTTCGGCGCCTCTCAGGGATAAAGGGTGAGCCAAAGCGAATGTAGTGTTTGGGAGTGGTGCAAATTAACGGAGAATGGATAAGACCAGGTAACATATTCAGAGTTGTTGCCAGTACAGTTGGGTCCGTGGTGATACGTAAAGGGCATTCAACAGGGCACTCTTGCTTCTCTGCTTTGTCATTCAACCATTCTGTAACTAGATACTATAGTGAAAAAGGAGATCATTAGTTGATGCTGCAGCTATAAAAGCCAGAGGCAGCAATACAGCTCACAAAGACAAATTTCACCTAGAAACTAGGAGAGATGTAGCAGCTGTGCCAAGTATGAAGTGGGCATTTAGAATACAAGGGTTATCTTCCATCACCCTGTCCATGCCTACTCAGAGAGAAATAATTTCAGCTATCAGTGATTTAGGCCCTACTTAAATTAAGAGAATAAAAGAAAGGCAGAATGGCTTCAGCCTTCTGCACTAGAGCATTTTATCTACAATTTTCTATCTAATAATACTGAGATCCACCCCTTTCCCAAAGACTGAAAGTTCTCCTATTTTTCCTAAGACACATTCCTTACCAGATTATCCTTATGAAGTTGTGACTTACCTTTTTGGTTTTAGGGTACTTAGATGCAGCACGGTTGACATGGGATCCAGTAACTGATACCACTGCTGGGTCACAACCTGTTAATTGCCTGTTTTCTCCTAAACTGTCTATACTTCCAGCTTCAGGAGGAGTTACTAAACTGTTATTTCCTCCCTCTTCCAGGGCAGTTTGTGACAACTCTGCCTGCTGTGCACTGGCCTGCTTCTGACGTTTTAGTCTCTGGGCTGAACTGGTCCGGTACCGAGAAATTCGACTCTTCGGTCGGGGCCTAGAAGGCTTTGCTGGAGGTGGTTTAGGGACTGTTTTTTCTGCAGCAACATCCTGTAACAATAGTAGGGTCAAGAGCTTAGCAGAAATGTCTTACCAGCAAATGTTCTATCCATCTTCCTATTCACTGTATGCATTCTAAGTATCTACAGATGAAAAAGAAACACTAAATATATTCCTTATAGACAAAAATTCATATAAGCAGTCAGTTAAAAAGGCATAGGCAGATGCCAAGCATTAATAAAATAGGCCAAAGCCAGCTGAAAGTAGCCATCTATTTTTAGGGTTCTAAGCAGGGAAAAGAACTCAGGAAAGAGTTGGTTTGTTTCTGTTTCCCAGATACTGGCAATATAAGCTTAGATTCTTGGCTGGGGAAGTTAAGTTTGTCAAGAATCCTCTGAAAGGCCAGGCAGGCATATAACTGTGCTCTAAATACATACCTCATTTTACTGTGTTTCACTTTATTGAGCTTTGCAGATATTGTTTTTTTTTTTTTAAACAAATTGAAGGTTTGTGGTACCTCTGTGTCTAATAAGCCTACTGGTGCCATTTTTCCAACAGTGTATGCTTACTTTGTGTCTCTATGTCACATTTTGGTAATCCTCACAGTATTTTGAACTTTTTCATAATGCCATTGCACTCAATAGACAGTACAGTGTAAACATAACTTTTTTATTCACTGGGAAACCAAGAAATTTGTGTGACTTGCTTTATTGTGATATTTGTTTTATTATAGTGGTTTGTAACTGACTCTGCAATATCTCTGAGGTATGCCTGTATAGAAGGTCCAACAGAGAAACCAAATGACTTCTATGAACTAACCACTAATAGTTTATCTGGCTGAAACAGTACAAAATTCCATTCTAGTCTGAAAGTATCTCATCATTCAAACTCTAATGCAGTTACTCATCTCCCTGAATCCTGATAAATGGCTCTAATTTACATGGTCTTACTTATTGTGATATGGAACAAAGTGGAAAATACCCATTTTGACCATTCCCCAAAATAATAAATTGACATTAATAAAGGCAAGGATGTCTAAGGCCCAGAGTCTTTTCATCTCTTACCCCTGCTTGGGAAGACCTCCGGGTGTTCACACCAACACTCTGTGGGGTGCTTGGGACAGCAACATTTGAAGCAGGGTTGCTAACCTCAGGCTCAGAGGCTTCAGCTTTTGTCTCATCTACCACAGGAATCTCTGAGGTGGTCGTGGTAGTAATCTCTATGTCAGAGTTGCTTTGCTCCAAGGGCTGATCCCGCCGCTTCTTTCTTTTCTCTAAGTTTTCAAAGGCATGCATGATGGCTTCGACCTTCCTATCTTCCCGAGTCTAGAAAGAAACAGTATCAGCCAAGGACCTCCTCAAGGAGTACTGGTGGTAAAATAATTCAGTGCTCAGCTACTAACTGAAAGGCTAGCAGTTTGAACCCACCCTGTGGCTCCACAGGGTAAATACCTAGTGATCTGTGTCTGTAAAGACTGTTGTTGTTGTTGTTATGTACTGTCGAGTAGGACCCAACTCATAGTGATCCCTCCTTGGGTTTCCGAGGCGGTATCACGACAAAAAAAATCACACGGGACAGTTCTGTCACATGGGATAGTTAAGAGCTGGAATGGACTCAACAGCACCCAACAACAATAACAAGAACCTCCTAAAAAAGTCAAAGAAAGAAAGAAGACTACTTGGAAAAAAGGAAAGGAGAGGACTTTTTTTCATAAGCACTGCTAATAGAAATACACAGAAACTTATTTAACCTACCAGTAAGATGACATATATACCTTAGGAAATAAAAGACGAAAATTAAATAAAACATTTCATTTTAAATGCTGGCAATTAAAACTGAACTATTCAAACCAGGTCAAGTATTCTGAAATATTCTTATGATTGAAAGGCTTTAAAAATATCAAAACTCACACAAACTTAGCAAATTCTGAAGTCAGAGCAAAGTAACCTGAACACAGATACTTTGTTTAAATCAGCTAATATTTTTGGAAATCAGATTGTTAGTACGATTCCAACAGAAAGTCTCATTAAGATCATCCTTAAAAACAGCCACTAAACAATTACTGTGTTTATACAGAATGAAACAAAACAAGATCATGAAATCTACTTTCTGGAAAAAGCCCAAAATGTAATCCGCAGGGTGGATATATCTCATCAAGGAAATGAGATGATATAAATGCAGACTAGAAGGGGTTCACATGCTGTACCCACCGCCACTGAGTTGATTCTGACTCATAGCAATACTATAGGACAGAGCAAAACTGCCCAGTAAGGTTTCCAACGCTGTAAATCTTTATGGAAGTAGAATGTCACATTTTTCTACTACTGGGAGTGCCTGGGAGGTTTGAACTGCCAACCTGTTGGTATGCAGCTGAGCACTTAACCACTGTGCCTTCAAAGGAGGAATTAATAGGTGCAAAAGGATGTTAGACAGTACCCACCCTCCTGCTATGAGCCAAGTTTTCCTGGTCATCTATAACTTCTTCTTTCTCTTCTGGTTTTTCTTCTGGATTGTCTATTTCCTTTAAGATAGAAATAATATTAAGCTGTATTCTCCGACTCTGGGAAAACTCAATCTTTGCATTTTTTGTGGGGGAAGAGGAAACCTAGAACTCTTTAGAAACAATTTCCAGTGCTTTATGGTGTTTTTCATGCAGATCAACATGATAAACACAAATAACCCTCCTATGCCCTCAATTCTCTCTACTGAAAACTTAGAAGATAACTCAAAGGATGTTCTTGACATTGTTCAACAAAAAGAGAATGAATGAATGAATGCACACCCACCTTGATATAAAAAGGCATTAAGCATTACCATAGCTTTTCTACATAAAACAACAGGTGGTAATCTGGGATCTCTTCATGGGGAGATCTATACCATAGTAACATTTGACCAGGGTGGATTACCTCATGATCACTGGATACATTTACTTTTTCTAGAACTTCTGGTTGCTGGTCATTATTCTCCTCTGAAGCCTCATTCTGTTGTTCCATCTCCAGCTCTTTCCGTCGTGCTTTTCTACGCCTGGTCTCTGCTCCGATGGTGGGCAGGCTTGGAGGAGCCGGGAGTGGCGGTTCTGCAGCATTGGGATTTCTCTTCTGTATAGGGCAATTCCGGTTCCCCTTGTGACATGCACAGTCTACTTTATAATTACTGCTCCAAAGAAACAACCAAAAGTGCCTGTCTCAGTGCCTCTGAAATTCAGTTACATTATCCATTTATTCTCTTGAAATGTTAGTATAGTAATTTTATAGGGTAGGGTCTCTGAATAAACTAAACCGAGACATTAGTCCTATAAATACTTTCAATATTCTGTGTTATTCTGTATAACTCTAACTCATGACTAGTGGAAAGGAAAGAAACCTCTTAATAAATTCAAGTTTCCCAACTGTTTTTATGCTATTTAATAGCAGTAAATCAGTGATGGACTCTAAAGTGCCATATTTACTTTGGATTCACTCTCACCAAGTCCTCACTTTTACCTACTGATTGCCTACTTATTATGAATGCCTTTTCTTCTAGTAGCTTGGCAAAACATCACTTTATCACATAACCTCTTTTTGCCAGAAATAATCAAGGGAAAAACCATCTATTTTACAAAAGCCTACCACATATTCACATATGGCTTGTTATTTTTCTGAGTAGTTATGCATAAGCTAGATTGCATGGTCTGAGTGGACAGAGTGAATCTTTAAATTCTCATCCTGTATGGCCGCTGCATAAGTGCTCTGTGTGTAACAACAGATGCTATTACAGCTTCTAGAAGTATCTCATATATATCCTTTCTGCTATTCACACTGTAGAGGCGTAAGCCAAAACATCCTTGTGAGGAACTTCTGAGCAGTATCATATAATGTACCTATATCTCTAAAAATTATCTCTTAACAATTTCTAGAAAATGCATTACTCATGAAAACATTAAGTAAACAAAGAAGGAAAGAGCAAGAAGCAAAAGCAGACTTAAAAGAACTGAATAGCTTAATATATAAGACAAAGCAATTCATGTTAGGAAAGGTTTTTGAGATCTTACCAGTTACTGTACTCATAATCAAATGCTATGGTGACCTCAGCATCCTTAGTGATGGCAGATACAGCGTAGATACACAGGTGTATCATTCCATCTGCAATCATGTGCCGTACCTGGGTGAACAAGGCTTACGGTCTGTTATTTACCATAAAGGTCAGAAACTCTACAGTAGGGGCAACAGGGCTTCTTACTCAAATCATCTCTTACCTAGAGCTCTGGTACTTGTTATTTGATTCCATAATTCTCTCTGACACTACTGTATAATAACTGCTTTTGAGACGTGTTTGAAAATTTGTAACATTTCTTGAAATAATGGTGATACCTTGCTACATTACAAATTCAGGGACAAAATCAACACTCTACATCTTAATTAAAAATGGTTTCCAGCTCCACTAGGGAATTAAAATTCCTTAGCCTGTAAGAAAAGCTCTGTGGACTTTCTTGTTGCATTTGATGTGGTTGGACTGATTATACTGCTGAATAATAAATTCTAGAGTTGTTGAAAGTCTGTCTTACCACATATTACTTAAAATAGAAAAAATTGCAACCAAATGGCCTTTGTTGTTGTTGTTATTTGCCATCGAGTTGGCCCCGACTCATAGCGACCCCTCCTTGGGTTTCCAAGGCAGTATCACTACGGAAGTAGGAATGCCCAACCTTCTTTCCAAGGAGTGGCTGGTGGGTTTGAACTGCCAGCCTTCTGGTTAGCAGTCAAGTGCCTTAGGCGCTATGCTACCAGAGCTCCTTAAATGGCCTTTAGCTTTGGTCTAATGACATCTTCCACCATGTAGCAATTTCTTTAATAAAATCTCACTGACTACTTATCCAGTCCAGGTCTTTTGTCCTCAGCAAATATTAACTTCTTGTTTTCATTTTTCTCTCTCCTAAAGGAAAGCTATTCCTTGCCTTTCATCCCGCCAGACTAAAGCTTCACTACTTTTGTTTTTCATCTCTCATAACGAAAAGTTATAATCATTAGTCAACAGACCTTTTTCTGGGTGAAGTTTTCAGATGCTTATTCAGTAAGCTTGTCTTTTGGTGGTTCCATTAAGTGATGTTGCTACAAAAATCTTACCTCTGCATTTGGTGTACACGATCTTCTGATGAATCGAGCATCATTACCAAAAGTTCGGGCATCCACACACATCTCTACACCATTGAATTTTGAGTAGAAGAGTACAAAGGGATATGGTCTAGGAATATAATTAAAATTCCTTTAAATCTCAACACAAATGAAAAGGCCACCCCATGACTCCAAATATGAAGCATATGCTGACACAAGAAACAGGAGTCCTTTGCAATGCCTAAACTTGGAAAACATCACACACTTGTCTGCTTTTGATTAAAGAACAAGCGCATAGCAAAGAATGCTTGGCTCAGAAGGGAGTCATGACGACTTTATACATTAAACAATTCATTTCTCTACAAATAGCAGACAGGTTTGAGCTTATCTGAGTTGCAAACTTTTCCCCCAAAATCATTCTATTAACCAGGATGATTTTTAAAGCAATATTCGTCAGCTAGGTCCACTTCAGCTCTGCTCAGTGAATGTTCTTACTTTTTGAAGAAATGCCCATTGACCTCAAATTGCTGTCGTAACATGACTTTCCCTCGATACTCTATTATAAGAGTGTCCAAAGCCAAATCTCTTGCAGCCCTCAGGATCTTTCGGTGCTTTTGAACACGAGTGACTCTTCCCAGCTGTAGCTGAATAAAACCAGAGTCCTAATATGAGAAAACAGCAACAACTAGGCAGACACTTAAAATATTTCCTAATTGTAGAAAAGGCACCAAAATTTTCAGCTTTCATTTGTCTATGCTATTTATGTGCAATGATCAGAAATTCTGAATTTAGTATAAGCTCAGTATTTCTAGAAAACATAGTCCCATCTAGTGAACCTGACAACCCAAAGGGGGGGGACAACACATATATGATAGAGATTTTAGTGGCTCCATATTCCTAGTAACTCTCTCTTTTAAAAGACTATAATTATATAAATTATGTAAGAATAAGCAGGGCAGAACAATGTGGTTCAGTAGCAGATTTCTTGCCTTTCATGCAGCTCATGGCTTCCTGATCAATGTACCTCAAGCACAGCCTGTCAGTGGAGACTTGCATGTTGTTATGCTGCTGAGTAAGTTTCAGCAGAGCTTCCAGACTAAGACTGACTAGGAATAAAGGCCTGGTGATCTACTTCTGAAAACCAGTTAATAAAAACCCTATGAATCATAACAGTCTGATTCTGTTATGCATGGTGTTGCCTTGAGTCAGGGGGCTGACCTGATGGCATCTAACAACAACAAAGAATAATAAACAAACTTTGATACCTGATAATCTTACATAATTCCTATCTAGGCTGTATGAAAATTTCCTATCGTAATTTATTTTTTATTAATATAGTTAAAAAATACATATTCAGACATTTTCTAGTTAAAATATAATCTACTTTTGGTTATGAAGATGAATAACTGGCTAATTTATTATTCTAAGGATTTATACATTTGAAAGAAAACATATTCCAATGCAAGTCAAGTTTCTGGTTCTTAAAATCCTCACCACTTACACAGCCTTTAACCCCTTTGATCCTTACCTGCATTTGGGAACCAATAACTGTATTATTACAGGCCAATTCAGTCTTATTAATAGTGTCTAAAATGGCAGGTTTGCCCACAAATTCCTTGCTAGAATGTAGATGCTGTTCAAGGGCGTTTTGTACATCTGCACTGTACTGATTAGTGAAAGCTTCTTCATACTGATCAGTCCATAGTCTTATCCGATTTTCCCAGCCCTCAGTTGTATTCTCATCTAAATTCTGTGCTTCAGAGGGAGAATTCTGTAGAGAACAAAGGTTGGGTAGGTTAGTAGAGTTCACACATAAAAATTGGGAGAAAAAAAATCCAGGCTGAGATTCCAGAGAAAATTTGTTTTCAGTTGACAGTTGGTGTGGCATTATAGAGTAATCATAAACTGCGAGTCAGGGGATCTGACTTTGATTATGATTTTGTTACCAATGAGTCATTAGATCTTGGACAACAATGTAGAAGAGCTCAGTTGCCTCACATATAAAGATGAAAAATCACTCTGGATGATAGTTCCATCCCACCACTGTGATTTTAAGACCAGTTTTAAGTGATAAAAATCTAACTGTTCTCATCAGAAGACTAACATTAAGTTCCTAAAAAAAAACTTCATAAAAAAGAATGAGACCTCAAAATATCATGTTGCTTAATTCTTAATATTTATCGAACATCTATCAGTGTGCCAGGCCAAAATGGCATTGCTTTACTATTCTCTAGGAGACTGGTTCTCTTTTTGTGTTACATATTATCTTCACTATCCAATTAAAAGGAGCTCTGGTAGCATAGTGCCTAAGGCATTTTACTGTTAACCAGAAGGCTGTCAGTTCAAACCCACCATCCACTCCTCGGAAGGAAGACTGGGCAATCTAGTTCTGTAGAGATACCACCTCAGAAACCCAAGGAGGGGTTGCAATGAGTTGGAACCGACTCAATGGCAGTGAGTTTGGTTTTGTTGAGTATACAGTTAATACATGTTCATTCTAAAACTAAACGTGGCCCAAATAAAGAACCCAAAATCTCACTATCCACAGAAAAAGTTAATATTTTTGAGTGTATCTTCCCAGCACTCTATTTCTGATGTTTAAAGAGCCACAGATTCTAAATACTCTGAAAAAGTGAAGTATGTGTAGGTGGAGGCGGGTAGGAAGAGTATAGAACTTATCTGCTGAGAGGTACTTTGATATATTTCTTAGAACAAACATTGCCTTCTATGATGACAGTATTGAGAAAAGATTATTTTATCTCAGCAACACCATCCTCAACAAATAGATCTCTATGTGCTTGAGCTATAGATACACAACTTAAGTCTGACACATGTTGTCCTCCATGGTGTTGAAGACTTAAGATGCCATCAGAAAACACAACAAACACTGACAGTGATGACATCATGCTACTCATGAGTAGAAAGAAAAAGACACTGTGGCACCAAAGCTTCTAGAAAACACATGTCCACACTAAACTTGAAAAACGAAAACAAAACAAAAACCAACAGAAAACACAAATCCAAAACAAAACAGGCATAACAAAATTAATTTCCATGAATGGTACAGAAATGTTTATGCCTTTTGTAACAAATTCTTTCACTGCTTTGGTATCACTAGCTTATTACCTTCCCCAAGAAGTAGGGAAATGGAAGGAAAAAAGTAACATTATTATTTTTATACTTCTCCCTAGAGTCCAAAAGACAGCAATAAACAAAGAAGTCTAAGAAACATCTAAGGCCAACACAGTGAGAACAGACTATCACCTGAGGTGTCAGTACCAGCTAGGCAAAAGAATAGTACAAAACCTGGACTCAAAGGGTGCTTTTATAAGACTGGAGATTAGGAGTCCCAAACAATATTCTAAGTTTTAAGCAAATGTCAGCAATCACTAAATTTGTAACTTGTTAAAAGTTACTGTACTTTGGAACTTCTGTTTCATTAATTCTACTCTGCTATCCTATTCTTCAGGATACTGAAGGCTTCACCTCAGTGGGCCAATTTTGTCCCCAGAGGACACCTGTTAATATCTAAAGACATTTCTGATCATCACAACTTGGGATAAAGGGCACTACTGGCACCAAGGGGGTGATTAGCGATGTTGTGAATATCCTATAATGCACAGGGCAGCCCCTTACAACAATTTACTATGTGATCCAAAAGGTCAGGAGTGCCAAAGTTGTGAAACCTTGGTTTAAAGTTAAGTCTCCAATAGGAGACACTTTATGATTACAAACTCAAATAATAAATTCTTTCTTTCTTATGGCTCAGGTCTAGATTTTTGGTTGCATTTTTACTAAGAATTAATCATGAGCACAAAATTCATAAGTCAACTTAAAATTCTGACAGCAGAATCAAAATTAAAGACTGCCTAAACTTTAACATACCATGGGGATTATCTGTCAACCTCCTGAAATTACCAGCAAAATCTGTGTATTTTTTTTTTTTTTTTAAGGACAGTTACTTGATAACCTCTAAAAAGTTTCCAAAAGTTAAGAGCCAGGGGAGGTAAGTTAAGAGAGCTAGCTGACAAGACAGACAAGAGCTTAAAGCTGGTATTAGGGCTATGTTAGCCCCATAAATATAGTTAAGACACCCACTAAGCAAATGAGGCAAAAAGAAATGAGCAATGAAAGCAAACTGGGCCCCTTACAGAGATAGCTCTATCAAAGAAATAATTAAGTTGTGTTCCACGAGATTCTAAGCTTATGATGCTCTTTGGCTCTCAGTCCTTATCCATCTCTTTTACTGGTATCTGGATACCTTAGTTTATTCAGGATGAGGACTTCAAATTTTATAGATAAAATGCCAGTTACAATCTTTGATAACATCAGTCATATTGGTATACCATATAAAGTAATCACAATAAAGCTTATCTTCACTGAAGATTTTAATGCCACACAATTGTCAATAGGAAAGATCTTGCTTTTATATCACACATTTACGGATATGATTATTTACAGACTTAACCAATGAACTTAATCCTTATTAAATGCTTTGAAGCCGTAAGTAACAATTTGGGAGGTATGCCATGTGTGTGTGTATGTACATGTACACACACACACACGTGCGTGTAAAGGAAGACACCAGACACTATAATCAAATTTCCTTCTGGCAAATGGTTTTTGTCATGCATACTTAAATTCCTTTGAACCACTGCATATAATTTCTCTATTCCCTAACCTCTCTAAACTCATGCCTCATTGATTGTGAAAACTGAAAAACAGAAACAGTCTAACATCATCTGAGTCCTCTAAACCAAACAGACATTCCAGAAAAAAACAGTATTATCACAAGTAAATAATTCCAATAAAAGTAATTCTTATTGATAATACAGCTTTCCTACTGATGAAATTTTTCCTTCCAACTGTTGATTAAAGTCCACACAGTGCTAGGACAGGTGTACAAGAGATCCTATAGCATTACCAGAAAAGCCTCATTCCTGAGTTTGAGGCCAATCATAATGACAAAACACATTAATCTCATTTTGTTTGGTACAATGTTGTCACTTACCACTCAAAAAAGCAGCTAATGAAGAACCAGTAATTGAAGGCTGATTACAGAAAGGGGAAATATTTCAGAAAAAGGACAAGAAAATCTAATTTGGAAAAAGGCTCTATGAAAACTGAATGGCAACAATTACAAACCAACGAAAAGCAGAGTCCAAGATTCCCAGACCATCGATATCAGGAAAGAAGCTGACCAAAATGCAAGATCACAGTGAAGTAAAACACAGCATCAGGGAAGAGTACCCCTTACCTTCATCCGCAAGGACTTCCGGGATCCCTCTCGAAATGCCTATCCCAAAGAGGAAAACAAGTAGAACAAAACAAAACTTGGTACCAAGAATGACAGTTATACCTATCTGAGACTAAAACTAAGGCAAGAACTAGTGTTCTTTTCAGTCCCCTTCTCTCTTGTAACAAATACTACAGGATTCCCCAAACTATTAAGATGAATAGGGATAGCACAAGGCCAATGAACTGAGACTAATTCCACTATTCTCTATTGTGGAGTTATGTAATTAACAGGGAAGAGCATGCATCACTTCAATCCTATATGCACCTGACACTGAAAGAAAAAGTAAATGAAAAACTTTATGTAAGGTGGCGAATTTATCAGTTTTTGAAATTAAGAAGGAAACAAAGACCAGTCCCCTTTAGCAAGGGGTGGGCAAGTCACCTAGAAGCAACAAAGTTGCTGTGATGGGGAAGAAAGAACACAAAACAGAAGAAGTTTCTCCTGGAGACTTTCATGTTCAGAACACAGGAAAGTTATCACAACACTGAGGAAGCCTACACCACCATTCAAGAGACATTTCCTGCTTTTTTTGAAACGAGAAAAAAAACAACCAACCCAATGACATGAGGTAGGCATGTAACCGGAACAAGCATTTTAGGCTGTGTTTTTTGGAGCTGAGGAAGTGGGGAGTGGCCAAAGTATAAGCCTAGACTGGAGGCTGTAGTACATATTGGCTTGAGTCATGTAGGGTTGGGATTTTATATCAGGGATAGGGGTTAAAGTAGAAGAAAAGTTAGTGTGGGTGGGGATGGTATGGTGTGGCAGAAGAGAGGTTGGTCTATGTGTACATAACACAAGACAGCCAATTTTTGCAACTAGAGCAAAAGTGATCAAATGTCTGGATCAAACTTCTTAAAAGAACTTTGGTACACTGCTGCTCCAAAATTTGAGCTACTTCAAACATCATTTCTATTTAAGATACTTCTACGCTCCATACCTTGATTTTCTTCGTCTTTGGTGCTGCACGGCCCTTTTCTGGACTCTTTTTCCGTTTCTTGGGTTTGGTTCTTCTAACTCGATTAACAGTTAAGGTGATGCTTGTAGGTGTGTGCTGTGTTGCTGTATACAACACAGTGGAAGGAGAAAGCTCCTCATCCCAGCTTTCCGTTGCACTGCTATCCCCACCTGAAAAAATGTTACTTCATAGTTATGCTATATGAACAGCCTCATAATGGCATTAAAAGTAGCTTAAACTCCTTTTGACTGGGCATATAGCTCATTAAGTCAGTTATTTCTACTATCACTTTTATCATCTGTAAAACATATAGGACATGTTTTTATCGATCTTATGAAAACAACCTTCTTTCCATGTTATTAGCATTAAGCACGTAAGCCTTGTTCTATGCCATAAAAGGAGGCCTGGTGGCCCAGTGGTTAAGTGTTCAGCTGTTAACTGAAATGTCGGGAGTTTGAACCTACCAGTCACTCTGAGGGAGAAAGATTAGGCAATCTGCTTCCGCAAAGATTACAGCCTTGGAAGCCCTATAGGGCAGTTCTACTTTGTCCTTTAGGGTTGTGTTGAGTCAGAACTGACTGAATGGCAGTTGAGCTTGGTTTGGGTTTTGGCTGGGTGATAGATATTTCTCCCCTGTATGCCTAATTGCTAAGCTCAATGTCTTAATTTTTTTTATTTTTATTTTGGTGCTCACAAGGAATGCTTTGATTGCTATAGGGCTAAAATATTGCTTCCATATATAACAATTCATAAAGAGAGAGAGATTAAAAAAAAAAATAGCAGTCTCAGAGAAAGCAGGAAAAACTATAGTGGTCTTGAGAAGACCTCTGTCTTTTTCCACTAAAAGAGCTGGGGACCATGGGAAATTATGGTGTGTGTGTGTGTGCTTCTGAAATGAACATTTAAATCACAAAATACTTGTATGTCAAAACATGGGTTCAACCCATCTGCCACTCACCTGATATGTTGTCCTGCTTCCGCCGATGAAGTCTAATAACCTTCCCCCTGCTCATTCCCCTAAAGAGGGAAAATAAACTTAAAGTAGTCCTTTCAAGAGCATGCAGTACATCACAGCACACATGGGAGAAGTGTCTCTGCATATACTAACCCCCTCCCTCCCACCTACCAAATGTTTCCAGGACATTAAATTTCATATCAAATTCAATAGCTTTAACATCAATCTCTCATTCCTTGTTGTCAGCAATTCTCACCTAGTGCAGAGAATTCGAGCCAAGGAGCACTAAGGAATCATCTACATTAACAAACACAAGAAAGAATACTTTGAGCTTTTCCCCACTAACAAGAAACCCTAATCCCAGCAACCCAGGCTTGAATTTTAGAAGGAACATGATCTTACCTGCACTTGTCACAGTTGAGAAGGAAGCCATCCTGAGAAAGACCACAAGGACACCAGGTAGGAACAGTCTCTCCTTCAGAGTTCGGGCTGTCTCCACAGCGTTCCTCTACGGGTGACGGCAGGCCATTCAGGTCAGAACGAGGGATGATCGTCTGGACAGGGGGAGAAGCAGGAGGTGTCGGAGGAGGAGGGGCTCCGTAATTATGATCCTGAAAATAAGATTTTTTAAATCAACAGTGTCCAAACACTGGCCCCTCTCTCCCCTAAAGTATGGTACATATGGAAAGAAAGAAGAAAGTAGTACCATTCGTTTTTTGGCTTCAACCAGGAAAGTGATAAAACAAAATGCCAAGGTCAACTGGGACATAAAAACAAGAACAATGATGCAGGGCTAGACGTCCGCTGGAGGCAGGGAAGTGCAAAAGGGGCAACTTCGTCATGCTGCATATAAACATTTCAAGAAAGTCACAATGTATAAGAATGGATTACACTCCAGGAAGATCACTGCTCTGGAGAGAAACAAATGCATACTCACAGCATAAGGCAGTCCTCGACACCCATGCCTCTGAGTGGTCCCATAATTATGAGTGGAATACACGTTCTTCTCATTAACTGCTGGACTAGCCTCCACAGATTCAGGGCTGCACAAAGGCGAAAAGCAATGCATGATAGCATAACACCTAATCTTCCCTTAAACTAATACTTTACTTCCCATTCTAACCCCTCCTCTTTCCACAACCACCAGCCACTAGAATAAAAGAAGGAACTCAGTGAAACAATCTGATTAACATAACTAAGCCTATAAATAACAGTGGGAGTGTTATTAAATGTGGATTTGTGTGTGACATGAAGCCAGTACAGGCAGATGTCTCAAGGCAGGCACCTGGGATACAAGGTGTCCCTAATGACAAACACAAACGTACCAGCTGAGCGGGGAGTTTCCCCTAGAGAAGCCACTCTGGGCTGGTTTAGACTCAGAACTATTCTTCTTAATTGGATCTCTTAATACTTCCATGAAACCTCACATGACATTTGCAGTGAGTGAGATGATGAAAGTGCCTTCTGTATTGCCCCAGGGACCAGGCCCTCTTCCATTCACTACCAAGACAGGATACCCTGAAGAAAGTACAGGTAAAAACAATGGCATCTTATATTTATCATACCTCTTATCTTGACGAACCCCCAAACACCTTTCAAAAATTAAGAGTAATAATTTCTCATCCACCAATGACATGCAAGCATATCAAGGACACAATTATTTAACAGCTGCATGGTAATCCCATAATATTTCAAAATAATCAAAACTATTTAGAATTTATGTTGGTCTGGTGACAAGTAACAGTACTAGCAGTTACCATTTTTAATCATCCACTATTTGCTAGGTGCTCTATCTATCTATTAATTCACTTAATCTGTGAAACCACTAAATATGGTAAACATAGTCCCATTATTACAAAAGGGGAAACTGAGGTTGTGAGATCAAGTGACTTCCCCAAGGTCACACACTGACGGAGCCAGTATGTGAAACCTTATTTGTCTGACTCCAAAGCCTGTGCTCTTTCCATTATGCCTCTTGATCTGGAAATTATGAGAACATTCTACCTTTAAAAAAATTATGAGACTTTAGTCACCAGAATTGGTGAGAAGCTTGGTTCATTATCTTTCTGTACCCTTACTGTTCAAGTAATTTATTATTATAAAATGATTATAAATATATTCAAATTTAAAATGGAATGTAAGCCTTTACTCAATAATAAAAAGGCTTAGGTGGCACAAATTCAAGGTTTTGAGAAAAAATAATTTCAACTCTGATTATTACCTGGCTATGTTTTAGGGAATTTTGAAGGATAATTATGGAATGTTAACTATATTAATTTTGCAAAACTAAATAAATATTAAAATATCAAAATTAACTAGAACAGAGAGATCCACAAATTAGCAATTCCAAGCACTAGCATAAGTCTGTCTCAGAGAACAATGGTTTTTTTTTTTTTTTTTTGGAAATCAAATGTTTGCTTCAAGTAATAAACATTTTTCCTGCTTGGGGATATACAATATACACTACTACTTGGCAGTAATAAAGTGTGCAGTTCAATGTTAGTTGAGAAGTGAGGGATAAAACAAAGTTCTGAGATACGTATCCAACTCACCCAGTTATATGCTCCAAAACTGTGAGAAGGGATCTTACTAATAACAGCAAAGGTAATTTCTAGGTGAAGAAGAACTTTAGACACAGGAAAGTATTCTCTGTTAGTGAAGTGCATGCATTTTATTACTTAAGAGTGTTTGCAAGATGGGAACTGGGGAGGTGGTGGTGGAGGAGCGGGGGGAGGGGATATATCAAGAATGCAGGTCAGTATTCTTGAGAAAAAGATGGTCTGAACATGGCCCACTGAGAGGCAAACAGTTCTAAGTATTAGGAAACAGGTGGGGTTTCCTAAATGAAACCAAAGGTAGACAAGCATTAATAAAATGAAGCCAGAATTTAGTTTCTATGATGGATAGTTAAGAGAGTGATTTTATACATTGTTAATTCACTAGATACATTTAACAAGTATTACAAAGAGCTATACTTCATATGGGAGATTTTGTACCACTGAACACATGGGGTGAAACATGACAGCTGTTATTAAAAATGATTTTTTTTTGGAGGGGAGGAAGGAAAGTTGCATGAAATTAAAGATGGCCATGGAGATGGAGCTATGTTGGTTGTATCTTACCCATCTCCAAAACTGGGTAAATATGAACATATGCACTTCATGTGCAAGTCTAGAGAATAAAAATAAAATGTATATTGTGGAGGTTAACAGGCCATCCCATTGCACAATATTTTCTAGTCAAGCATAGCATTTACTGCATTGCCATGCATGTCAAATGTTAAGATTTTAGCTGGTATCTTTTGATGAAGAAACTTGGAAATTTTCACCCTGGTCACTGATCAAATACAACAGTTAGGCACTGACAGGTAACTATAGGATTTCCCAGCACATTCCTTAACACATAGAGCAACTCCTATCTATATTTTAAAATATGGATGAAAACTTTGGTGTGGTAAGACTGCATCTCTTTATTAGCTAACCACTTTGTGCAAATGTAATTGTAACCTTTCTTCTTTTACATCTGAATTACTACGATAATTGGAGAAATGCACAAAAGTCATACTTCATCGCTTGTGTTGTTTCTAAGTGCAAAATGTAGTCTGCTGCTATAATGCCTTATCTTGGAAAATCTCTGAGATTCTGTTAAGCTAGAATTGTGAATTCAGAGAAATCCTTGCTTTTATTGTCACATCTACAGGTTTTCCTATAAATACACAAAAAAATGTATATTGTACAATGTTGCCATCAGATTTAAAATCCCAGGAGGTAAGGTCTAGGTTTTTTTTTAGTTGAGTAAGCTGCTCTTAACACTAGGTTTAATTTCAGAGTGCCTAGAAAGGTGGCATACTGCATAATGATGCATTAACAATCCAAATAACAGCAGAATGGTACAAAGGCTAATTGCTGATACGCCATTGCTTTATAGAAATACTAAATAAATCAGTATCAGAAACCTGTCTGGAGATTATGAAGATGTTTCAGGAAAGGACATGCTGAATTTATCTGTACTGTAGCCAAATTTTTAGACTAGAAGTTATTTCTGGTCTCCGTAGCAAAATTTATGGGCTGTTATCTCTATAACCTTGGGAAAACACAGGTTTTAAGAATAACTGCTTTGGGTCTTTTTCTTATCTATTAATCCAAAGACGTTCGTTTAACATTTTTGTTTAAAAATTTCTCATAAATATTAATGCTGTCTGCCTATATAGTTTGCTTATCCATACAGTAGGTGATTAGTAGCTGACTTTGAATAATACTATATAACTGGCCTATCTAATAATGCAGAAGATTTCTAAGTATTTTGAAAAATGGTTGTAAAATTCAGTCTCACATCTTATGGCTTAACTAAATCTCTTTAGCATGCAAAAACAAGGGGAAAAAAAGCCCTGGAAAGAACATAACCCACCATTCCCCATCCCCCAATCCCCTTCTTCCTTTTTAAATGTGAATAAGCCCAAAAACTGCTTTCAATTCTAGGCTACCCCAGATGATAATATACTATTTCTTAGGGTAGCTTTATTTTAAAAAAGCTTCCTCTTTGAGACACTTAGTAAACAGGTAACTTAGGTAATTTTGTGAATACACATGCTCTTTAATAATATTCTCAAGAATAAAGAAGAAAACCACTATTAATCAGGGATGCAGTTGAACCCAGACTTCTGGTACAGTTGCTTTGTTCTGCTGAAGGGAAAAGAATCCCCAGGGGCTGTGAAATTGGCAAGAGAAACAGGGGAATTAGAGCAACACCCACCTCACTCAAGAAGTGGTTGTGGGATCAAGAGTCTGAACTGGACCTGAACATATTCAAAACACCAGGATTTTTCCAGCCCAGACCCTAATCCCTGGTACTGCCTGGAATAGACTTGGCTTCTGGGGGTGTGCTGCCCCCTAGGCCCCTTGGGTCTCTTTCGCTGGACTTTCACATCCTGGTGTAGTGCCACTTCGTCTTGAAAGGTAGGGGGCTTCCACTTCCTTTCTGTAAGCAAGGAAGATTGGGTACAAGGGAGGTAAAAGGACAAGAGGGGAATCTGTGAGCAGGGGCAATCTCGGACAACTTAAAAGAGAAGGGATACAAAAAGCTAAAATTTTAAAAGCTGTGAATAATATATAAAGTTGTATAATGAAGGCCTACCTTCATTGTCATTTGGCATTTAAATTCTTCAAGAACTGAGTCTATTTTAGGGATTGGGCTTTTCGACAAACTCTGAATTCCTAAAGCTGCTCTTAGCTGAAAAAAAAGTTTGGTACCACTGATTTTGAAGGTCCTCTTTCTAGGCAAGGAATATTATAAAAGAACATATGACACCACTCTCCATGTTTTCTACCCCAAATATTAGTTCTGGTAACCTGCCCACATCAGTTTCAGCCCCTTTACTCTGCAACAATGGGAAGTACATAGGAAGAGGCCTTCAAGGAAAATCAGTTGGAGAGAACACACTTCCTTATCTCCCTCCACCAGGATAATCATTAACTCTACAGAAGCAGGTAGTGACATTTTATTTCAGCCTTCCCCACCCTTCAAAACAAATAAAAACGTAACTATTACTTTGCAAATTTAATCCTATTAATCATTTACTCAGAAACCCCTCCCCAAAATCACTTTTCTACCCTCTTCTATTTGCTTTTTCCTCCAGTTTCTATGAGGGAAAAGGGAAAGGCCTAATGTCATTTATAATTTCCAGTGGGATAGGCTTTTATTACTACATATTAGATATTCATAAGAAAGATGTCTCCAAACAAACTGATATAATAATATCTACTATTTAGGAAATAGCACTTACTCTGATCCAGCAGCCATATCTGAGTAGGATGTATCTGGTGTGGTGACTCCCAGAGGGATTGCAATGCTCATGACGTCCAACACAGCAGATAGTTGAAATCACGGGGTCCAATTAATGGAGATTGACCACTCTGGGAGTGGGGGTAAGCTGCAGAGCCTCAACCAACATGATATGGACATAAGGAATTCTGCCATAGAAAATAAAAAATAACCAGTAACCAAGATGGTTCTTAAAATTTATCATAGATGTTACTGAATCTTTCTTCCATTTTTTGGAAAGGGAGGCATTTAAGGGATAATTGTTAATCAAGTAAGTACAGGATGTACACATTGTCCAATGTTTACTAGGTATTTCATTAATGTTAAACAAAATGAGGTGAAGAAAAGTTATGCTTTTTAATTTCTATTTTAGTGCGTTTTTAAAAAATCTTTTCAGCTAAAGGGCAAGTAACAGTTTACCCAGTTCACTAAAAAGTGTAATATTTTCCCCATTTTCTACCACTGCCCACACCAAACAAAATATTCTGGAAACCTAGAATTTACCTAACAAGCTTTAAGATACAGAATGGTTAGCAGAAATATCCTAAACCAAAAAAACAAACTCACTGCTGTCAGATCCGACTAATAGTGACCCCCCCTCCTTGGGTTTCCGAGGCAGTATCACTACGGAAGTAGATTGCCTCATCTTCCTTCCGAGGAGTGGCTGGTGGGTTTGAACCACCAGCCTTCTGATTAGCAGTCAAATCCCTTAGGCATTACACCACCAGAGCTCCCAGAAATACCCTAGTTTACCTAAATTCCTTAACAACTCAAGGAATCCATTTAAACTTTACTGGGCCACAAATAAATGCAGTTTTATCAGCAGCCAATAATATTATTTCTCCTAAATTACATATGATGAGAAATCAATTTGTTATTTATATTTGATTGAACATAGCTGTTTCTTATTGCCTTCATTTGTCACAGAATGCTATTATTTTAAACTGTAATTTTGTGAGAGGATGAGATTACATTACCTTTAACAACTACTATTTGCTAGGTAATATGTACTACCAGATATGAACAAAAAGTTAAATCACAAAGAGTATAGTTTCATGATAAAGATTAGAGAATTTGCATGGAAAGGCAGTGAAGATACCTTGACAAGATAATCAGCTGAACTGCCTCCATGAACAATGGCCTCCTTTGCCATGAGACCGAAGAACTAGGTGGTGCCCAGCTACTATTAGTGAACATTTTGATCAAAGATTCCTAACAGAATCCTGATCAAAAGGGGGAAAATGCAGAACAGAATTTCAAATTTTCAGACTTCAGCCTTTCTGGGACTATAGAGGGTGGATGAACCCCTGAAATAACTGCCCTGTGATAATTTTTAAACCTTAACTCAGAAGATTATACAGAAACCTTAGGGAGAGCGAGTTTAGGTTAATGAGGGAAGAACAACTCAGAAAAAGAAAGTGAGAATGGTTGCACAACTTGAAGAACGTAAGCAATGTCACTAAATTGTACATGTTTACTTAGTATATGCTATGTAGGAAGGAAGACTGGGCAATCTACTTCCGTAGTGAAACCGCCTAGGAAACCCAAGGAGGGGTCACTATGAGTTGGGTCCGACTGAATGGCACATAACAACAACATGTTGTGTGTAGGAGCTTTGGTAGTATAGTGCTTAAGGCATTTATTTGACTGCTAACCAGTAGATTGGTGGTTCAAACCCACCAGCCACTCCCTGGAAGGAAGAATGGGCAATCTACTGCCGTAGTGATACTGCCTTAGAAACCCAAGGAGGGGTCGTTATGAGTCAAAACCGACTATACAGCAGTGAGTTTGGTTTGGTTTATGCTGTATATTTTCAATAACAACAACAAAATAAAATTAAAACAAAAACTAAAATAAGCAGCATTTTATGCGGGAGGAAAGAAAGTCAATGTGAGTGCTAAAGACCCAGGTTAATAAAGATTTTTCCAAAAAAGGATACCAAAATATACATATGTATGACTAATATATTGTTGGTTCATGGTAAGGCAAATAAGATAATGGAAAAATCAAATAATTATTTATACTAAAAAGCTTAAATTGAATAAAAAATATGTGATATGGATTGAGTCAAAACATGGGATTAAAGCAAATTTTAAATGGGTAGACAATTTGAGATGTCCACATCTTTTTCTAAGGAGCTCTGGTAGCATAGTGCCTAAGGCACTTGACTGCTAACCAGAAGGCTGGCAGTTCAAACCCACGAGCCACTCCTCTGAAGGAAGATGGGGCAATCTATTTCCATAGTGATACTGCCTCGGCAATCCAAGGAGGGGTCACTATGAGTCGGGGCTGACTCGACAGCACATAACAACAACAACATCTTTTTCTGATACATGAAACAAACTGACGTGGGTAAGAAAACTACTTATGAGTCAGGCAAAGTTTTTTTTTTTTTTAAATGCAGAAAGTTAGTATTACTATTTGTGTGTCATTATTTTAGAATGCTAAACCAAAAAATATCCAAACCCACTGCTGTTGAGTTAATTCTGACTCACAGCAACCCCTGCTGAATTCCTAAGGCAGTAAATCTTTACACAAGTAGACTGGCCAGTCTTGCTTCCACAGGTGGCTGGTGGGTTTGATCTACCAACCTTCTAGTTAGCGGTCAGATGCCTCAGGCATGCTAGAACAGCTATAAACCAAACAGTTCTCCTTGGCACTTTCATACTTTGAAGGAGGTGGATCTCACCAAATGAATCGAATTCTCTAAACCTGAATGTGGCAATGTACTTGGCTCCTACCCAACTAGAGGTGATGTACCACTAGACTCTGGGGGACTGAAATGCAAAGGTCAGCTCTTACCTCATACTTCCTCAAAGCTCATAAATAAGAAGTGACTGATGTAATTTTTGTCTTGGGGCCTACTAACACGTAACTGTATTTTTTGCAAATAGTGTGTTTATGTAATTAACGTATGCACACATATAACTCCCAGAAATGAGATGATGTTTAAAAGTTCTGGTATAGTGTGCCCATGCATATAGTGTGCATGCCTTATGACACTTCCAGAAGTGAATTTCAGCCTCATTCACCTTCATCCAATAGTCTGAAAATGTTACTTTTTACTGTATTTGCATAATAAAGACATAAATCACGGTCAAGAAGCCATAGACCAAGTTTGGCAGTACCCCAGTAATTGGAAAATAAACAACGGAAACTCTATGTTTGCTCTGGGGCAGTTCACAGCTAGGCCTGAGTGCAGTAGAGTTCCTCGTAGCTATTTGTGCACAGCTGCCGACTCGACGGCATATAACAACAACATCATCATCTGGAGATGGGTGGAGGGCTGGATGGAGGACTGTCACAGTCTAAGCACTGCCTTGGTCCTGCAGTGTCCCTGGGAAGTCAATCAGACCTGCCTTGTCTGAGTGAGGGATGCGTGACCCCTGTGGCTGTGGCTATTATGCCTGCCTCACAGCACCATAGAGTGGAATGCAGCTGCAGTGTGCCAGCCTCCCCTGTCTGAGTAGCCTCTCTGGTCCAGGGTGTGCAGACCGGTGCACCTCCTGGCCTGGGGTTAGTTGCCCTGGGGAAGAGTATTTCCCATGTGGGAAAAGTAATTTCTTCCTACATTAGAGAAAGCAGTTTGCAGAGCAGAAAGAAATGCTGCCAGGAGATTGCTTTAGAAACTTGTGGGTAAGACTGGTGAGGGTCTGCTGCTGGGAACCAAACCTCCATATCAACAGGTACCAAGACAAAGATTTAACATGAAATTCCTTGGAATGGTGGGGGTGGGGGTGGGTGGGGAAGGAGAAGGTATGTAAAACTTAAGTCAGTAACATGTAAAAAATATTAGTATAATGTGCTTATGGAGATAATGTACAGGAAGCTGTGCGGTATGAAAAAACATGCATGTAACATGCATTATTTGCATAAAAGTACAGTAAATTCTTCCTTTATATCCAATATATCCAAAGGGAGATTCAGGCAGTTAATCCCCAAGCCTATGTGAAACTGAAACATAATCTGATAGAAAGTACTTAAGTTCCAATAAAACCAAACCCAACCCACTACCACTGAGTGATTCTGACTGATAGCAACCCTGTAGGACAGAGTACAACTACCCTATAGGCTATAGGTAAATACCTACTGTTGATTGCCATGTTCATTTTAGATATTACTATGTAATTCAGATTTAAAAAAAAAAAAAAAAAAGCCTGACCAAATAATAAGAATGAAGATCATTCCTCCCAACTCATGTGTTATAATTTCAATGAAGAACAGAGTCACCAAATGTCACTCAAAACCCAACACTATAGTTTCAGGACAACTTAGTCAATTGGCATAACATGTTCATAAAGATACTGTCTATATCCTAGTTTGGTGCATAGCATCAGGGGTCTTAAAAGCTTGCAAGTGGCCATCCAAGATTTAACTATTGGCCTATACTGTCTGCAGCAAAAGAGAAAGAAGAAAGCTAAAGACTCAAAGAAGAAACTAGTGTATAAGACTAACAGTTCTTCACATGAACCATGACCTCATATATCCTGAAACCAAAGAACTAGATGGTGCTCACCCACCATCAACGATTGTTTTGACCAGGGACACAAACAGATGGTCCCAGACAGAATAGGAGAAAAGTGTAGACCAAACCTCAAATTCCTAAAAAAGGCCAGACTTACTGGACCAGTAAAGTCTATAGGATTGACTGAGATTACTGCCCTGAGATACCCTTTAAACATGGAACTGAACCCACTCTTGGATGCCTTTCAGCAGCCAAATAAGATTAGCTCATAAAATAAACAGCACCCACGAGTACTGTGCTCCTTTAAATAATCATCTATATTAGACTAGTCAATATTTATCATGAAGCAAATATGAGAAGGTAAAGGGGAGGAGGGGCAGAGAAGCTAGGTTACTGGAAACAGAACCACTAGAATGAAAGTAATGAGAATGCCGACAGGCTGAAAAATGTAACCTATGTCACGGAACAATATGTACAGAAATTGTTAAATGGTTAACATATTTGCTGTATAAACCTTCCCCAAGCTAACTAACCAACCAACCAACTAAATGTGGGCTTCCAGATAAGACAATTTACTAACTTGTGCTGATACTTTTTTCTGAGAATACCTTTCAAAAGCTATACTAAAGGAAAAGGTACTATATCTTCTTAATAAATGATGATTTCTATATTCTCTAATAGAAACCCAACTCATTCATTCTGAATAGCTGATAAACAACTTGAGGAAACATTAAGCAGTTAATGGTAAATTTCTGTTTCATGAATTCTTCCACTTTTCTTTCGTCTAGTTTTTGGTATGACTCTTCCACTCTTCTGAAGGCAATTTTAACAGGCTGGCTTAGCCATCTTATTCTAAATAATGCTTCTGTAATAATTCAGTTCCTTAATTCAAATTCAGATAGCACAACCAACTTTCTCTTACAAACCTGAGAATATATTACTCCTTCCCTAAGTTAACTCCCTGTGCCCACTGTAGCTATTAAAATGTTAAGAATCTTTAACAAATTAACTGTATCCAATACTAATTATAATTACTCTAGTATTTTAAACCAAGACAACAAACTCCTGGTATAACTTAATTAAGTTTAGTCATACTTTGCTTTGTCTACTGCTGTAGTTCCAATACCCACACAGTGGCGCCTACATAATGAATTTTCAGTAAGTTGATATACGAATGCATGATCACCGTTATCGCAACACATTAATTTAGCATTCATTAAAATGCAAAAATTAAAATAGAAATTAAAAGAAATCTTTGGTTCAGTCACCTTTTTATAGACCTTTGAATATGAAGTCCCAATTATCTGCCAGTAGCTCTGAAGACCTAGAAAAAGTTGAGACACAAATTAGAATACGAAGAACTAGGGGTTAGTTAGCTAGATAGACATACAGAATGGAATTCTATAGCAACATTATATATTTAATGTTAATGTTTCTTTACACTGCCTTATTCACCATCCTATGTTTTATCCAGGTCTTTATCTTTAGCCTTTACATCCCACTTTCCTGAAAAGTTTGATCCTAAATAAAGGGTGGGGAAGGAAATTATCTTTGACTTAAATAGTAAATAAGGAGCCCTGGTGGTACAGTGGATAAAGCATTTGGCTGCTAACCAGAAGGTCAGCGGTTCAAACCCACCAGCCATTCAGCAGAAGGCAGATGGGGCAATATACTTCCATAAAGACTTAAGGCCTTGGAAACTCAATGGGGGTTACTGTGAGTCATAATCAACTTGATGGTAGTGAGGTTTTTTTTTTTTTTGCTTTAAATCGTAAATACTTTATTATGTCAACTGACTAGGTCCCTAGGTAGTGGCAAACCTAAAGGCTCGCTGTTGAACCTACCCAGCAGTGCCATAAGAGAAAAGGCCTGGTAATCTGCTTCCTTTAAGATTACAACAACAACACAAAGTATGGCGCAATTCTACTCTGTAACACAGAGTGTAACCTACAGTTGAAATAGACTTGATGCAATTAACAATGTCATACTGGCTAACCCTTCTCTTCCCTTCAAGCTGGAATTCTCTCCCACTTTCCCAAAGGATCTCTTCTTTTTTTTTCCCATGACATCATCACAAATTCAAAGGCTTTTTTTATTAACTGAATATCAAATTTATTCTCTGTCTGAAAAGGGCCCACCAACCATCGTTTATTAAAGTATAGTAAGTCCATATTACTCCTTTGTCTTTATTCCATACCACCCATCCTACTACTACAGAAAAAGAATGACAAGAGCAGTCAGTTCTTTTTGTGATAACTTCATAATGAAAACAATGCTGAAAATGGTGCCTCATTCTCTACCATTCAAAAAGGAAAGGATAACACATGACCAGGATTTTAAAGTAAAAATGATCTAGTCCTGTTAAGTTTTCAGTGTTTTCTCCAAAAAGACAAATTTAATGTTAGTCATTAATACCTGAAACACTGGTGTATCATATACATGAAAAGAGCTGTTAGTGGGATTCTAGTCACCAAGCATTAGAAGTTATTTTGTTGGTATTGCATAGATTACCAATGTTTAAAAAAATTGGAAAATGAACTACTCTTTAGAAGGAATTTAAAAATATTTAGATATTATAAAAATGAAAGTATGAAGGTAATAAAATGAAGCTAAAAATAAGAAACCAAAGAAAGAAGCAGACTCATCCTTTTGATCAAAGGTAACGAAGAAAGGTTAAAAAAAACCCAAACAAGTAGAAAAGAGAAAATAGTATGTGGGTATATGTTGTTGTTATTTGCTGTCGAGTCGGACCCGACTCATAGCGACCCTTCCTTCGGTTTCTGAGGTGATACCACTACAAAGTAGATTGCCCAACCTTCCTTCCGAGGAGTGGCTGGTGGGTTTGAACCACCAGCCTTCTGTTTAGCAGTCAAGTGCCTTAGGCACTATGCTACCAGAGCTCTTATGTGGGTATATTGTTGTTGTTGTTGTTATTTGCCGTCGAGTCGGCCCCGACTCATAGCGACCCCTCCTAGGGGCAAAACGAATGCATCAGAATTTTCATTTTATATCAATTTATTTCTAGACTCATTTAGCAGAATCCACAGTAACACTAGGAAATTCTGGGATTCAAAAGCAAAACCAACCAATCTCTCAGTTACTGAATATGCTTTTGGGGAGTCACTATTCACATACAGTTCCTAGGGAAAAGGCTATATAAAGATAATATGCTGGAAATGTTTTATAATTATTCCTGTCTTTTTATTTGGGCTCAAAAATGGCTAAGAATCTCTGTATTGGTAATTCTGAAGGTCTCTTCTCTATCACTGGCTGAAAGCACAAGACCCATGTGATTTGTCTGGTCACTCTCAGAGAAGACAAATAAAACGTGTTTTACAAACAATTCCAACAGATATTTCAGAGAAAGAAATTGCATCAGCCAGGTGAGCCGGAAGCAGCTGGGAGAGGAGAGTCTAATAAACAGCCAATCCGATGAAAGAAATTCAGAACAAGTCTGCTTCAGTAATCCTGTGAAGAGGACTGGCAGGAAGAGGAGTGCCGCTTCAGAAAGAGAACAGGCCTCATATGCTTCAGACAGTCTTTGTACTGAGGCTGTGGACCTTGGCCATTCTCCCAGAAATGATGCAATCCTGATGAACGAGATCTGCTGCCAGAGAAACAATTGTTAACAGCCTATGCAGACAGCAACTCAGCCAAGGCACAATCTCTGATCAACTCTCTCCAATAAACTACCAAAAGTCCAATTTTTTTTTCTTCTTCAATTTCAGTCTCTGACAAAATGTATTAATATTTAGACACATGCGAAAAACCATTTTCACAAAATGCCCCTTCCCTTTAATTCCTTTGGTTTTACAATACCTATTCATCCATCATTGAATTTTTAAATAATATATAAGACACTATTAGCATGTTTGTTTTTATTAAGAATACAATTCTTCATGCAAGTAAGATCAAGCTATTTATGTTAAACTTTTACAATTATTTTCAATATATTAAATATTGACATATATTAAAGAAAAAGAGGAAATCTATTATTGCTCAAGGAACATAAAAACTAGATCAAATAATATCAAGTATGTTACCTACAATGTCCAGTTTGCTCAAGGGTAATATTATTACTTCAGATCTTGCAATAGAGCCAAAGATTATTTTCATCTTATTAACCACAGCCTACTATTTTAGAATCTAACTTAAAAATATCCTTGATTCAAAAATCCTTTGTAAAATCCTCATCTCCTATGCTTGGTTTCTTTCTTACTCTCACTTTACCCTCCAAAAAACCCTCCAAACTCACTGCCATCAAGTTGATTCTGACTCATAGTAACCCCCACTGGGTTTCCAAGGCTCTTTACAGAAGCAGACTGCCTCATCTTTCTTCTGTGGAGCAGCTGGTTAAGTTCCAACCACAGACCTTTTGGTTAGCAGTCAAATATGCCTTAACTACTACACCACCAAAACTTGAATATCAGGTTGTTCAAACAGATTTCTTCTTTTTGAAAGACATAACCTTTATACTGGGATTCACTAAAAACATGAGAATCTAAGATATATCCTGAAATCCATATATTCTATTATCAAATCTACTATTCCTTCTATATTTATACTACTACACAATGACAATTAACAGACATATAGAATAATTCTGAAGCACTTATAAGATCTTTAACTGGTTCATAATGAATAAATTTAACTTAGTTAAGAACAGAGACAACATTTTAGAAAGTTTTTCAACAAGAGTTAAAATAATGATTAATCAAAAAATTTGTGAACCTGATTATTCAAAATTCTGATATAAATGTAGGTTGAATTTATTCTTAAATATGCTTGTACTTCTTTAATTTCTTTCTTTTGAATGACTTTACAAAGCAGTAAAATGAGAGGACCGGGAAAGCGAATTAGAAGGGTTTTTTTTGGTATGGTATGATGATTACTATCCTTCACTTAAATTTTAAATCACGTAACAGTTCAAAATGCAATAAATAATATGAATGCATTTTACTAACATGACCAAACTTGTCTGAGAACTAATATGGCAGTTCTATTCCATCTTCAAGCCAAATTTTAGTATTTAAATTAAAAATACTACAGTTGTACACTGCATTTTACCTTGGCAGAAGAGAAAGTATGTTAGGAAAAAGCACTATATTAGTTTGATTATCCCAGGAAAATCATATATATGAACCTTAAATTTCTCAAAGTCAAATGTTTACTGGGTTTCTTCCTGCTCCAGATTTCTATAAATCCTGGCGCTGCCACTAACCAACCAGTTTAGGTAATGCATTTACAGTCTCAAAGTCTAAGGTTTCTCATCTGTACAACACAAAGAATGTACCTGCCTTGCTGACTCATAGGTGCACATGGACTAGATTTTGTAGCGCATTAAAAGTATAAATGACTCCTGGGCCCCTTGAAGTATATAGAAAGAGGAGCTATTGCTAATAACCTGAATATGGCTAAAAATTATTTCCTCTTCTCTGTAAGTGTGTATTTCAAATTTGCTACTGCAGATATGAAAGAAACAATACTAGAAGTAAGTGATAAGCACTGGAAGAAACACACAGGAATATTGGAAGATAAAAAGATGAACTCTAAAAAAGAAAAATTGCACAGAGGTCCTCAGAAAAGTTCATTTTACTGAAACAGGTCTACAATCTCAAGTTAACCTAAGCAAAGAACCTAAGAGGCATTGAGGGCTGCAGAGAAAGAAGCAAAGAGAAACACTGATTGGAGTAAACATTGAAACACTGCTGGTTCCTGTGCCATCCCCATGATCAACTGTGGACTAGACCATTGTGATCCATAAGATTTTCACTGGCTGATTTTTGGAAGTAGATCACTAGGGATTTCTTCTTCCTAGTCTACTTTGGTCTGGAAGCACCACTGAGTTAATTTCATTATACAAGCATCCACTAACATATAGATGGTGGCTGTACATTAGGTGCACTCACTGGAAAATGAACCCTGGTGTTCCATATGGAAAGTAAGAATTTGACCACTGGCCTGATAAACCAATGTATAGGAAAGATCTGAGTTGACCAGGAATAGGAAGTAATTAAAATCCAATTTTAATAAATTTTATTTTAGTTCATATTAAGAATTTCTTTTCTGATGAAAATTTTCACTGGCTATTTGATATTAACATTCGTTTTGGGGTTTTAAGAATACAGAGACCCTTTGAAGGAAAGGACTCTGAGGAAAGTTAGAACTGAAACTATGTAAAACTTTCTAAGAAAATTTTAGCCTTCCCATCAGAAACCTGAATGTCTGTAGCTATATAAAATGGCCTCAATGGTCTGCAAAGTGATTTGAGTATATTTAACAATGGCTTATGCTATTCTAGAAGTTCTACTTCTAGCATACTCA